AAACAAACACACGCCCCAATTCTTTTTTTTTCCATTTGAGACAATGTGATACTGATTGATTGGTGTCTGCATGAGTGGTGAATATTAGGTACAACATGGACAGGTGAATGGCTAAACTAAGCTAAAATTTGAACGTAAGTTAATAAACTCGCTAACTTCAGCTGTGAAAGCAAAAGATGAGGAAAAGGCACTGTAACAATTAATACTTAGATACTGTAAACAACTTATTTTTCGTGGGCTCAATATTTCACAATTTTGGTTAAGCTGTAGTTTCGAAATATTTCTCGGGTTCTAATGTTTGCGATGTGGTGGGATCTCAATATAGATTCCAATGTGTTTATACTTTACCGGAATTGTTCGCGGGACCTATTTTTCACGAATTGTAGGCGATTCGTGAAATTCACGCAAATTAGATCCTCGCAAAATTTAAGTCATTTAAAGTAATTATGGTCACCCATTCAAACTATAAGCAACCCACGAAACCCTACGATAACTAGATTAGTCCAATTATGCAGACCATTAGAAGGTACAGTAACTTTTGATAGACTAAGGTAACAAACTATATATAATTTCTTTCATATTCTAAATAAACACCCACAAAAGCAATTTCAAGAGCACAAGAAACTGGCAAATGGAAAGGAGCAACTGGGTTAGCTACCGCAAACACAACACCACCGCATGATTTGTGATTCCTATCACGCCGATAAAGATTGTGACACTTCCGGTATTGAAAAAGTTCATTCATATGTCCAACCTGCAATCAAGACACTCTTCAACTGTGCCATTCTCCGACTCTCCCCTGCTATGAGCTCGCTCAACAGCTGCAGGAGGCAGCTCATAGACGCAGCTGTCGGTCGGACTGCATGCGTAAGATGTGCCGCTCGAAACGAGCTCATTAAAGCGAACTTTAAAAATTCGCCCCTTTTCTGCACTCTCGTGGCGAAGGCGGCAGTATCGCAAAATGTATTGTGCGTTGCTTTGCAGTGATGTCACACACACAAAGCTGGCATGCATTCTCTGCCTCTACAGGCCAAACATTATCCTACATAGTACCTCTAAAAGAAAGCTCTGCCAAAGATAACCGGGAGAATACAAAAGCCAAAATGAATATATCCACGAAGAGCAGTGGCATAGTCGGGGAGAGAGGGTGTTGATTCCCCTTCTTCATCAGCACCCCAAGTCATGGACATCCCAGCCTCCACCCCCTTCAGCCCCCTCCCCCCCTTCCATCAGAAATAAATTTCTGGCTATGCTATTGGCAAACAGAATGAGGACAGCCTTTCGAATGCCGGGCATCCAGGACGCGTGGGCTCAAGGTGGACGAGATAGGTAGGAAGCTCGGGATGGAGGCGAAGCAGTTGAACCTCCTCCCAGCAGTTCTCACCTTGTCATGTATGCATGGTGAAACAATAGCAAAGATATACAAGGCACACAAAGAAACCGTAACCAAAATTACAAAGGTGGTAGGCATAAAAAAAATTATGTTTTTGGCTGGTCCATACCTTAAAACTGCACCCCACACCCCAAAAAAACTACATTGGGATTCCGCACACAGTCATGCCAGGATGCGCAAAAACAGACGGACCGTAAAGGTATGCGACGTGTAAATGCCAAGGGGCGGTCCTACAGGCATAGACACGCACGAAGGAGTTTGCAGAAGTTGCGCAAGTGGGTGGTGCCGCGTCAGGGGGTCAGGGTCACTCAAGCGCTCCCCTACGGAAGGGGAATAACACTCGCGAGGGGAGAAAAACACCAAAGGGATTCCCCTGGCAGAAGAGGAAAGCTGATTAAAAGAAAGAAGCAGCCAATTTTAGAGTCAACATATTTTTAAAACGGCTAACGGGGGTTCCTCCAAGAAATATGAATACTATGTAGAGTCACCTTGTTAAACCTTGACACTTAGAAAGACACATGTCAGACGTGGAAATTGTTTTCCTAAATTTTTAATTTGCCTAATGTATTGCATATTATACGATGTGCAGAAGGACCTAATTTTCGCAAATCGCTTACAATTTATGAAATAAAAGGTCCCGCGAACTATGCCGGTAAAAAGTAAATACATAGGAATCTATATTGAGATCCCACCGCATCGCGAAATCTGGAGCCCACATACTATTTTAAAACTTCAGCTTTGACCTAAATCGTAAAACATTGAGTTTGCGAAAAATAAGTTGTTTACAATATTAAGAAAGAAAACAGAAGCGTGCTTTGAGACTGTCAGAAGTCAAGACAAAAGGGCAATGCTAACAGAGTACACCAGCACAGACCAAGCCACAGTCACCAGACAGTCCTGCCTTTTTTTTTTAACAACGAAGGACATAGCAAAATTTCCAAAATCCGGGACTCATCATGATTGGACAAACTACACCGACTTGACGTAACACGAACAATTTAATCGGACGTTTTGTCTCCCCTACGGGAGATACCATCAGTGAAACCAAGAGGCCGCAACAAGAAGAACGCCAACTAGAAATCCTATTTAAGGAGGTCCGCATACAGTTCGGGAAAGGGGCCGCGGTTAAAGTTAGAAGCCGATTAATCACCCCGGATGCAGAATAATTCCAAGTACCTTCGTGGACCCCATCTTTGTTCACGTGACAAAGTCAATGTGTTTTCCAAGTCAAGACTGTGACCCTTTGTCCAAAAATGGTCCACCAGCTCAGTCTTTGCCCTAGGGGCAGGCGTGGCTTTTATTACAACGGATTTGTTTTCTTTCATACAGGTGCAACTTTTGCGGCCGGTCTCCCCAATATACGATGCGTCACAATCTAGACAGTCCAATTTGTACACAACACTACACTGGGATTCTGGGGGTGCTAGGCTATTGGTTTGGAAATGAGGTCACATAGTGTAAGATGGGGTTTGAATGCTGTTCAGGTGTTTAAAGGGGCGAGGGCCCCGCGAATAGACTCAGACATGCCTTTAATATACGGAATTATTACTCGCCCTGCTTTATTATGATTTTTATCCTGACAGTTCTCCTGTCCCATCTGCTTACGCATGTTTTCAATAAAACGTGTAGGATAATCCTGCTTCAGCAGCTAGTCGAAAAGAACTGTATCTTCAGATGCTCGCAGTTCTGGATCAGGAGAATGTGTTTGGACCGATGTAGCAGGGTTTTTAAGACTACTCTTGTTTCTGTGTGTCCGGTGCTGTTTCAATATACTGTAAACGACTTATTCCTCGCAAGCTCATTATTTCGCGATTTAGGTCAAAGCTGAAGTTTTTCAATAATTCGCGGGTTCTAATTTTCGCGACGCGGTGGGATCTCAACATAAATTCCAATGTATTTACATTTTACCAGAATTGTTCGCGGGACCTATTTTTTGCGAATTGTAGGCGATTCGCGAAAATTAGGTCCTCGCGAAAATTAAGTCGTTTACAGTATATTAATATCTAGGAAAAGCAGTGTGCTATACTCGGCGACAACTTTTCTTGGCAATGCAGTGGAAGGTATGTCCCGCGTCCCCTCTCCCATTTTGAGTGTACGCAGGCTCTCCTCCTCCCTCATTTCCGGGGAGAGGAGGAGAGCCTGCGTACACTCAAAATGGAAGAGGGAATGCGGGCCTGTACCTTCCACAGCATTGCCAAGAAAAGTTGTCGCCGAGTATAGTCTGTTCTACTTCATGTGTGAATTGGATTGACGGTTCAACGCTGTTCGAAGTTAAATGAATGAAATGAATGAAACAATCGGGCGCGACGGGCACTCAGGTCTGTGAACTTCCCCTTGACTATGGCAGCTATGGAAAGTAGCAAAAGCCAGTTTGGGAAATACTTCTTTAAGAAAGGGTTTAGGGTTGATAATATATGTCTGAGCAGTAGTATATCACTTTCACTATTCACATTTCTTTCAACATTGTAAGGAAAGAAACAAAACTAAAAACGAATTTCACAGGAACCGAATTAACGACAGGCTTCAGGATTAATAACCTGCACTCCGCAAGGGAAGTTTTAAAATCCTTGCACATCAAAGCCTACTGATCAACACAATATCTATAGTAATTAAACTGGCTTACTCCCTGATCACTCAGTGACAGGTGTTCTCAATCTCTAGCGCCTTGGCAATCTCCCTATGACATCATCCCAGTCACACCTGGGGATGTGCACACTACCCCTAACATCCATACAGTCACCATTCGTACTGATGAAAGTTCACCAGCTCGACTTTCTTCCTTATTTAATATCTATCTGTTCTGTGCCCCCCTGCACGGCCGATGTTGCCAATATCTTGGCCACATTTGTCTGAAGTTGCGACTGTATCATATCTCTGAAGGGTTATCTGAAAGAAATCTTACCTGCCCCAGTGGTCTTCGTTATTACATCACACTGGAAGCGTTTGATACGTCACGACAAGGGGAGATAAGCAGCGGCCCTCTAGAAACAAATTTATGCAACCACGTTTGATCGCCTATCACCTCTAGCGTGAGCGCAGCCGTCTTTCGACTCCCTCCTGCTTGGGTTCTTCTGACGCGACATGCAAAACCGGCCAAGTCCACTGAGGAGCGGCGTGGCGTCGTCCCCGCGCGGACAGCCCTCGCTCGTTTTTGCGCCGTCTACTATGTTTGTTTGTTTGTTGTTTTTTTTTCTCTCCACGGTTCGAGTGCTGCGGAGTGCGTGATTTGTGACAGCCAAGAAGCGTTTACGGTTGACCGACGCCGGCTTCCATGCGAAACGGAGCCGACCGAGCTTGGAGATATCACTTTCAGCCGTGACGCTGCACATTGGGAGAGGAGGACAGCCGGGGAACCCGTGGATGAATCAAGAGAACCTGACAAAGCTCCCCATTCAAACAACGGCGCGGCGTCGTTTCGTGGCAGTATTCCGGAAACTACTTTTTCTTTTCTGTCTTAAAAGCGAAAACCAACTCAGCCACGAAACGATCGTCATTCCGTTCATGGGGTATAGCAACACGCGCACCGAAAGCTTACACCGGTTCCAGTTGCCAGTTGCGGCTGGAGCACCAACTGTCACACACACAACGCTTTGAAAATTAAACTCACCTCCAATTCTACGAATTCGTGTTGGCCCAGCGCCGGATCGCGTAGGCAGGCCGGTTCTTCTTTGCGTTCCTTCGACTGCAGGATGGCTTTGCCGTGGATCAGCACCTGTATTCCGACTCTAATGCCGACGTAGAGGGATATGCACGTACCGATGACAACGTACAAGGCCCGATAGAGAGCTCGCCGCAGACGCTCGCACGCCATTTGCGGGCCGACAAGAAAACCGCCTTTCCTCAAGCAACCCGACACTCAGGTGCGACGGCCGCGTGAAGAAACGCCGTAACGCGATGACGGTGATGAGCCCTGAGCCGGTCAATGCTGCCTACGCGCACGCACAGCGATTATGAAATATCGCATTGGATTGGATTGCTTCGGATTGAAGTGATTGGAGCGACTTGTGCGGGGGGAGGGGGGGGAGGGCAAGAAATAGAACCGAAACTGGGGTTATGGTACCTGGAGGCTGGAACGTGTCTGGTGTGTTTACCACGTTCAAAAAAAGTGATCCCTCGATTTCCGCATGATGGCGTCAACAAGTGTCAGGTTGTCGCCTACTGCGAACCTGGCGGTATTTCAGCAGCGGTGGAGTCGGTGGAGTGTGTAGCAGACACTGGTAGCAGATGTGTGTTCTGCTGCAGGTCGCTCTCTGGCACTCTCTGGTGTGACAGTCCACGGAAGGTACAGCAGCCAGAAGTTAGAACGCAATGACGGCAGCGACACTCATGTTCGTTCGTGCTTTTCGCCAGCATTTTTATGCCCAACCGCCAGGATCGCGACATCCGACAACATGACACTCCAGCTTTCGTGACGTCATTTGTTGCAAAATGATACTAAAAAAACTGAATTGTTTTTTTGTTTTTTTTTAAAGAAGCGAAGTTGATTTTTAAAGTTAAAATAACCAAAACACACAATAGTTTTCTTCAAAATATGATGATGATGATGATGTTTAACGCGCCATCTCGGAGCACTTTTGTCAACTTTCTAGTGCACTCGTTTAAATTAGTGATGGGACGAATCTTTATCCGAATCGAGATTCGGAGCCGAATCTGCAGATTCGGAAAGATTCGGAAAAGTAGCCGAATCTCAAGCGATTCGGAAAAGTTCGGAAAGATTCGGAGCGTTGCCATGGTTGCTAAATCACGTTGATGTGTGTTTCAACTTTTTGTGATATTAAATTCACTAAATTCTACGAAGTACACGAAAGATTATTGTAATATAATATCACAGTACTAAATAAAATGTTCCACTTTGTTTATATTATTTTGAATGTTTATCGAGAACGGTAGCCAGACATCGCGGGAAAGTTGGTTTTGGTTCTGGATTACGACCCAAATAGGCATGCTTGATGCACGCACGTGGAAATACAAGCGCATGTTTTCATCGCCGCAAGAGATCGATGCCGTAAGTGCTGTTCGGTACAGACACATTTCGTGCCGATAATTACTGTCAGTGTGGCACACACCACACAAGTGAGTATGTTCGATTCGATTATCTACAACGATCGACTATCCACTGAGGTATTGCTATCGGAACACGGGAAACAATCTGAAACTTCGTTAATGCATGCTATCCGATTTAGTTAGTGTCTGTTTCCGAACAATGAAGTTGCGTTGGACACCCCTGTATTGTGTTTCTTTTTCATCAAATAAAGTTCACGTATACAAAACTTGCTGCCGAGAACGGAGAAACGACAGTGCGACGTTTTTCTTTGCCACCGGTATCTCGCTCTCGCGACTTACAGGTACAGACATACGCAGCTGTAGAGAAGGAGACGAATCATTTCCTTGGCTGAATATATATTTATTTTTCGTTGCGCCACATTATGTATACTATACAGCGTTTCGCTACATTTTGCCAATCACCGCGAAACCGCACAGAAAGCGAGACCGTGCATTGGTTAGGCCTACGTCAACCACACCGATCAGCTCAGCTGGACCTGGGCGCGTGCTAGGGTCTAGAATGACAGTACAGTACATACCATACGTTGAAATAAACAAGACGAATTCTGGTCATATGCAGTAACAGTAGCTAGAAAAGCACAACTGACCGCATTCGCGAGGTTTACGACAAGGTTTATGCTGCCGCCTGCAACCAGCGACGATTCGGACGAATCTCCGAATCTGCCGAATATTCGTCGCGGGAAGTTCGGAAATTTCCGAATCTGTCCGAATCCGAATCTCGGGTGATTCGTCCCATCACTAGTTTAAATTGACACGACACGCCTCACTTGCTGAAGCCAGCTGAAGCAACCGGCGACAAGTTTCCGAAGTTCTTTCGTTTACTTCTCAATCTTTGGTGTTGTTTGTTTTCTTACGCTAAGAAAACAGTATTATAGTGGTTGGGAGGTTCTGACAGGGCCTTGTCACAACTTACAAGAAGCACACATTCCGGTAAGTTTTGTCTCTTCCTCAAATGTCGATCGAAGACGTTTTACCTTTTGTGCCATAAACATCGTATCAATCAATCAATCGAAAGTTCTTCCTTAGTTGACTTTTATTTTCTTCTTTTTTAGTGCGTAAGAATAAAAGATAACGAAGATGATCGTAATCGTAATCGTAATCTTTATTTGCTCAGGAGAGCCGTGGCACCGCGGAAAGGCGACAGCCCGTACCATGGAGGCCCGCGGTGCCACGTCTAGTGATGATGATTATGAGATGATATATACAAGGGGGGGAGGACGACGCGGCCTTCTCAACATCGCAAGCAGCGTTGCTTTGGGGTTTGCCAAGACATTTCTACCAGCTGTAAGAAGTGCCTGGGCGAACGGTGATGTCCGGAGGCTTCACCGTGCGGCTGGGAAAGCCTTGGCAGTTTGATGGTGTTGAGGACGACGTGCTCTTTTGATCCGCCGCACGAGTCTTGGAGGTTCGGCGGCGGTTCAGGCCAGTAGGCAAGCGAGCCAAGGTGACCTTCGGTAGGCAGTTCAGTGGACCTTCTGGATGGTAAAGCCCTGGAGGTTGATGGTGCGCTCGCTCGCTTCGTTGAAGGCAGCGGCTCCAGGCGGTGGCCCAGTCAAAGTAGACTGCTGCCACCCCCGATGCATTGACGTCCAGGGCTAGAACGCAGCGCCCCGGTCACCCGGTATAGCTTCCTGGCATCGTCGTCGTTAAACATTAAACATCGATGATGTTTAATGTATCCGAGAGTTGACAGTCAGCGCTGCGTGAGTGTTGTTTCCTTGTGTGGATCTGTTTTGATGGTGTGTTGTCTGTTGTGCTCTGTGAAGTATTAGCAATCGAAAGCGTTTGAAAGACAAAGAAACTTCGCTGCTGCAGCAGTGTTGACCATCCACTGTTTTGACTTTGTTATTATTAACCGTATGCATATTAAGGCTGTGTCTAGAGTGCCGTCCGACGACACTGTTGCGGAGCCTTCAAGTGCCGTCTGAAAAAGCACAAGTGGCGCTTATTCTGACATCTGTTCCATAGAGCCCGACTGAGCCAAACGCTACAGGAGTGAGCAGCGTGTTTCCTTACGTACATTTGCGCCTGCACTGTGTGGCGCGCGATCTCTTCAAGTTTGACGAAGTTGCACTCTCGAAGTTTGCGAGTGTGATTCGATTGTTGTGTAAAATAAATTTGAGTTCTTCTCGAGTGATGGCAACAACGATCTCAAGTAACGGCAATATACCCCGTCCCCCCCCCCCCCCCCCCCCCCCCAAAAAAAAAAAAAACACAAAAAAAACATCTGTTTTTAAGGTACTCATGCTAAACCTAAACATTTGTGAGGCATATATAGGGTGTCCGAAGTCATTAAGCTCGATCTAAAATGGACCTTGAAAATCGATGACTGCACCAAGTATTCTAAACTTTTCGTCAAAGGTGTATTTCACCGGTCGGTTTTTTCTTGTAAAAGTACAAAGCGTAGCTCCCTTTCTGTAAGAAAATAAGGCCAAAAAACTTGCCAGGGTTGATGGCGGACGGCGACGCAGATGTCTGGGCCGAGTTGCGAGGTGCATGTATTGATAGATGGCGTTGGGAGCAGCGTCGGAAGGTGTAGCCATCCAGTGATAGAAAGCTGGCAACACACAGATGAAAATCTGTTGGCAGCAAAAGCGCCGTCCTTATGCAATCATATATATTTTTTTTACTTTAAGCTTTGCTTTATTGTTCGCATTTATTTTTTAACCAAAGGTACATTACGAAAAGATTATGTTCATTTTAATAAACAAAGGTGGTCGCGAGCAGTCTCGATAAGGAGGTAGCGCCATCTATCACTCGAGTGGCAAACACGCCCTGCAACTCCATTTGGTTGTCTGCGTCGTTGCTTGCCGTTGACCCGGGCAAGTTTCTTGGCCCTATTTTTTACAGAAGGGGAGCTACGCTTTCTGATTTTACAAGAAAGGAAACGACCTGTGAAATACACCTTTGACACAAAGTTTAGATTGCTACATGCAGGCGCCAATTTTTTACGGCTTATTTTAGATTGTGCCTGGTGATTTCAGTCACCCTATATATTTGTGAGACCGGTTACTATTTATTATAAAGAAAATTTTATGAAATGGCAAATTTAATTAAAAAAAAAAGTACAGCTAAAGTAGGGATACTAATTTCGGTCACAAAGTGCCAAAAGCAAGACATTCTTTACTAAAGGACGGCATTTGCTCAATACGGGCATCCATGACGGCACTCGTATGCGGACGCAAAGTGCCGTCAGACGGCACTTGAATGCTCTAACCGTGGAAAAGTCTGCACGTGGCCTGCAGAAAAGTCTGCAAACCACCTGGCATGGGCCTTCGGCCTCAATGCTGTACCCCGCCTCTCCAGAGTCGAAAATAAATGAAATGAAAAAGATATGAATTTCATTCTCAGACTTTTTCTTTGCTGCTTATATTGATGTCGTTAAACTTGATTACGCATTTCCAGCTTTCCCGTTTATGCACTATAAAAAGCGACCGGTACCACTTCTTTCTATAATAATCATGTTCCCTATTTCTTAAATGTTCTTTATAGCTGCACTGCCTTTCAGATGCGTTAGGACAATGGGCATGTGCGAGCTTTTTTTTATTAATTAGTTTTCTTTTTGCATGAGTAGCGTGTTAAAAGGAATACTGGTTCCCGGCATTCATAACTAAGAAAGAAGCAGCTTTTTTTTTTTTTTTTTGTAGCAATTAATAAATCAACAAAATCAAATAACTTACGGTGGCTAGAAGGGGGTGTGTCAGAATTGTGCGTCTTGCTCCGTGTGTGGTGGCATGGTCTCCGAGGTTTCCGCCGCCCTCTGCTCTGGCCTGTCCAAATGCTCGGCTGCATAGCAGAAAAAGCAAGCCGAGCCTGTCCCCTGGATCTCTGCAGGCTCTGCTTAGATCCAAAACAAAAAGAATCGCTTCAAAGCACACTCTCAAGTGTGAGCCTCCAACATAAACCTTGCATTTTCACTTATCATCATCAGAATAGAGACAGGTCGATCTCTGTTGATTTGTAATTTTTATTTGCTGCTCCAGTATTAGCACCGTTTCTCTGGATGATACCTCAGAATGCAGGACTTAGCGTGAATCAACTCATTGTGGAAACAGCGTGAAAACATGAGTATGTAGACGAAGAAGAAACACGAGGGGCGAACGCTGACTATCAACAGACGAATTTTATTAGAAAGACACACAAAAACGACCCTTCATTCCATGGCAACATTACATGACTATGACACAGTGAATTCCTACCAAATCGCCCACCTATTCATTCTTCTAATCTGAATTTATATTTGTCCCCTGCGGATACGGTCTGGGCCGGCAGGAGACAAGTGTAGCAATATTTTTGTCGTCATGCATGAGAACAGCTTTCTGAACTTCACTTACATGCACGGACATTTGTTCTACACCTTTCGCACTTTGAAAAGATGAACCTCCGAATTTCGGGCTTCTTTTTTGCCAAAGGTCTGTGTGTTGCGGCGAGAGGCAGTGAGCACATTTCGTGCTGCTCTAAAGTTCCGCAGACCGACGATAATTATAATAATGATAATTCACGACTATTTATTTGTATTGTTTGGTTTGGTTGCGAGCGCCACCAAGTGCCACACAGTATCAGTCTCTAATGGCGAATGCAATGGCCTAAGCAGCGCAGCCAGCACACAAAAAATCGCGGAGGCCATGGCAGTGGCGCTCTGGTGTATCATGACAACGATAGGTGGCACGCTCTACTCGGAGATGCTAAAGCCCCTCGATATGTTTTCGTTTGTCTTTGCAAGTAGCGCCAAATGCGCGAGCGCGCATGGCCCAGGTCTCGAGCGGCCCTTGGAAGCGAATGGCGGCGCAGCACTGAAATGAGCGGCCCTTGGAAGCGAATGGCGGCGGAGCACCCGCTTGTGGCACGTGTCTTGCGCATTTCCACAACAATGGTTGGCGGTACTTGTGAAAACACCTTTATCAAGGGGCTTTAGGAGATGCCATTTGCAGACGCCGTAGCAGGATGGCTCGTCTGCGTCGCCAGAAGTGCCCGTTTGAGATGCTCTTCCTGGAGAGATTGCCCCAAGCTAGAAAGAGAAGAAAGCCTCCCTCTTTGCCGTTTCCGACGACGACAAAAGTGTCAACAAGTTTATTCTCATGTTACGCGAACCTCGTCCAAAATCAACATACCGTAAAATACCAAGCAAGCACCCACTCAAACTTTGGAGATAATCGCAAAGAAATGGGGGATGGGCGCTTGTGCAGTCATCAGTTTTACATATAAATATGCTGTGCATATTTTCTTAGATCTTACAAATTTTGCAATGGGCGCTTAATGTGGAATAGGCGAATGCGCGGTATTCTACGGTAGTTTAACTTTTTAAAGTATTTGATGGAGCGCTAATCGCGTGCGATGCTTACTCGCAGAGCAATAAAACACCCGAGTGGCAGCGGACGTGATTGGACAACGCATCTCGTGTCGACAGCAGCGTTGCATCCTGACCGTCTGCTCCTTTTCTCGCTCGCCGATTCTAACACCTCCCCTAGTCACTGTGCCATTGGCTGATCTTATGAGCAACTGAGAAGGCAATAGAAAAACAAAGCAATCAGGCGTCTATTTTTTGTATTTTTCGTTCATAGTTTAGATAACATATATTTTTCTGCATACACACACAGCATGTAAACTAACACTTTTAAAGCACTTTAGACTGCCCGTGAAAATTAGTTTTTCGACGTATTGCATTGCGATTCACTACAGAGATGCGGCTGGGTGTTGAAGGCATGGGGTGAAAATATTAACGGTTCAGCTTACCATGTTCAAAAAAGAAAAACCTGTTCCAGGCTATCTGCGTAGGCATTTGCAGACAATGTCGTGACCAGGCTCGCCTAGTTAAATGTGCCACCGACAAAGGGTCAGAAGCGTCGAGTGCGCTGGTGCCGAGCTTAGCAGACGATCTTCAAAACTTCACTTTGCCGGCGCACGTTCCTCTAATGTGAACTTCTAATTGTGTGATAATGTATTCACTTCAGAGCGTAAAATGTATTTTATGACACGCGTGTTTCAACCATAGTGTAAAGAAAAAAAGCTTTTTATTTTTTTCTTTTCAGTGACTCTTTGAGATTCTTGTCTTTCTCCTCAAACAGTGGACCGCTCACTCTTGAATTATTGAATAAACCTTCCTTCTTTATTTCTTGTTGTGCTCTCCAAAGAATAATGGCTCCCAGCTGCCCAGGGTTGTCATTGTCATGCAACATGCTCAAACCACACCTCCTCCAATTCAACTCTTATTTCTCGGAGCGCGGCGCAGTAACACGCATCGAAGCGACGCTTGCCCGAGGCATGACAAGCAGGCACGGCCCAAACGGCCGCTGCATCTCTTTCCTCTGCATTGTCTCCTTTTGCGGTGGTTGGGAAATCTCGTTCGAGATGTTCGGGTACAACCTGGAAAAGTTTGTGAATTTGAGAGAAGCAATTAGATGGACACCATGGTTCTGACGAATGGATTGTGAAAAGTGTGTGGTGTGTGTTTGTTTGCAGCCAACTAATTTGCTTCGTCACGTCGACTGAGGTGCATGCTCGCAGCGAGAGGCGAAAGGGGAGAAAACCATGCTGCGCCGCACGGTGCAGGCCGGCGCGGTGGCTGGCACCATCGGCGTCACCTACCTTGCGCTGCAGAACAACCAGTGGCACGTGTCCAACATCGGCGTTGTGAGGTTCGGCCGAGCGGCCATCACCGTGAGTGGCCACCAACCTGCTTTTCCGTGTTTCTCGTCGGTGGTAAGAAAGGAAGGAAAGTACAGAGTACCAAAAAGGCCTCTCCACCCTCGAAGACTGGAGGCAGGTTCATGCCCTTGTCACTGCTTACAACCATGTGCCTTAAACCTTCCTAAAATCTCTTACCACGAGACGACATACTGGCGCTATCTACAGGGTAACACTTGTAGTACATTTTTATTTTGTATTTTATTTTATTTTTTTCGCTTGCAAAACTTTTGACAACGTTATTGATAGGGTTCCAAGTTTTTTTAGTTTATTTCTTGTGAAATTCAAAAGGTGTTTTTTAAGTTCATTCTTTGCTGGAAATTTGGGGTTTATCGGAGTTTATTTTTGCTAGGTTCCCAATACTTAAAAATTCAGAGTTTAATTTTACTTGGTTTTTATTTTTTTTTAAATAAAAATAAATAATTCGGAGAAAAACATGCCTTAAATTTATAAAAAAAAATCGCCAATATTGAATTATATGTTTGCAGCTGCATTTGGCATTGGCACCCTTGTGATTGTCAGCACTAATTCTCCCACGACAAATCTTGAAAAGAAGCGTAACTTCAGTAAATGTTGGTACTTTGAAATAACCAAACTCTTGGACCCATAGAACCTTCAGCTGACATTTCCACCATATGAAATCCACAAATTTGCATCTTTCACTGCGATAAAAACATGACACCACCTAAGAAGCGCAAATAGTATGGTCCAAAAGAGAAACCGAAACAATGGCTTTTGTCGTTGTCCAGAAGTACATTGGCTCGTTGTGCTGAACCAGGGATGGGCAGTATTTAAAATACAAGTATTTGAAACACTGTTTTATATTTCATATTTGATTACATATTGGGGAATATATTTGTGTGGCGTGCCCATGTAGTGTCGAGGTAATGCAAGTGCCGTCTGTACGCCCTCACATGCTTGTACCGAATCCGCCTAGTGACCGGTTGCCCTATGACGAATTATCCACTGTATCCAGTTGTTGAGTCACCAATTTGCCTACAACGAGCCTCAACGTGTTGAACGGGCCATTTAAATACTCAGAATTGCGTACCTTAAATATGTCCCCAAACACGATTTTGGTCACTGTTCTTCTCAATCAAATGCGATAGCAGACTCTCTTTGCGATGTGAGTCATGTCCAAAGAGCATCAAACAGGCTGCACTTTGCTTATAATAAGCATAAAAAGAAAGGAACAGAAGAACAAGAAATGGAAGGATAAGCACAATTATTGGAGTTCTTGGTTGTGTGATTTAGGTTTTTAAACACGCTACATTCATGACACGTTCGAAAAGGTTTCGATGCATAGATTCAGCCTTTGAAATTATTCTCACGCTAACTTTATTATTTTTCCTTGTGTTGCACCCGCCTATAAAGTCATGGGGAACAAATTCTATTTCTAAAGCTGCAACATTCTTTTTAAAGGGGCAAAGCAACGATTTTTTTACTTTGCGCAAATACCGCTTAGAACGGATCCCTGACGTTAATTACTCATGGAACACCTGTTTTTCACCTTTTGCAATCATATTTGCAGAAAAAAAAAAAATGAGCAGCGTTCATTTTCTTAATTTACAGCCAGAACAAGCGGTCACGTGATCTGGAGTCTATTATATTCCGCCAACGTTGATCATGGCCACGCGCTGGGGTTGGCAAGGCACAGGACGTGCGCCAAGCTTCAAACATTGTTAGGCTTTGGCTATTGTCGTCATTGCAGCGATTGGACACAGGCTATTATCCGAATGCCATTACCTGAATCGGGTCCAATCTATGAGCCGCATTCAAATATGGTCACTGGGTGGTACTGCGACCGCCCAGCTACGTCATCAAGTTTTGCGAAGGAGAGACTTAATGAAAACGCTCACTTTTGTTCTTGAAATGACCCCGCTACAAAGGGGTTTCTTGGCCAGTGGCATTGCGGGCGAGTACACTTGGGTCCCACTAGTCCCAGTAAGCCGGTGTAAAGTGAAAAACATTTTAATTGAATATTGTTGCACCGCCCCTTTAAGCTCTTTATTTTTAGTATACTGTATAGACTCTATTGTTTACTTGGTCATGTTCTTTTTTTTACCTGGGTCTAATATGTTAGATATGAGAACATATTGCATTTGTTAAATTATATTAAGATTATCAAATACCCTTGTTGTAGGTATGTGTACCTTGTATTTCAATACTTTTCGAAGAAGTGTAATTGAATTTATAATTAAATACATTTTTGTCTAACTATTGTGTATTTGTATTTAAATGCTTTTTTGCTAGAATTTGGCCCATCCTTGATTAGATAAGCGGGAAACTCCCTTTTGAGCTATCCTTGGGGAGATAAGCGGGAAACTCCCTTTTGAGCTATCCTTGACGAGATAAGCGTGAAACTCCCCTTTTGAACTATCCTTGATACAATAAGCGGGGAAACTCCCTTTCGTCAATAGTCCAAGGGAAAAAAAATACTGACTTGGTTTTTTTTTCAGGGCCACTAGCTCCATGCCCTGACAAAATTAATTCGTAAAATAATGTCTTCTTTGGTTTTTTATTTTGCCATCATGACCTCGAAATTCAGAGTTTTGTGGATAAATCCGAGTTGTCAAAAATTTTACTGGTGAGTGTTGGTCGGATTTATCCGAAAAACGGGGAACTCTAGTTATGAACGACTCTCGCAGATACAACATACATTCTTGCAAATAGCACATAACCTTCTCTCTGTTGACATGAGGGTCACCTCATGAATCGTGCCAGTATTCTCTTTTTGTAAGAGATCACATGAGCTCAGTCCTAAGCAAATGCCAGTGTGAACGGTCTTTTAGCATTCGTTGCGTCTTTTAGTAATCCAGAAATCTTTTTCATATAGGAAACCTGACAAAACTCCCTGTAGAACTTGAACTGAACACAAATGGCGCTATTTCACATTTTGTTTTTCAAATGCTGTGTGGTTCAGTTGACGTTCACCAGACGTGATTGGAATGCACTAATTGGACTGTTTCGTCGTGAATTTGTGATGTGAATCAACGACAAATATATGAATCTATTATTCTAAATGTGTGGGCATGTTTTTCCTTTCTGACCCAGGTGTCCAGGATAGCCTTTGACTACAAACTTGCCACCCTGGGAATGGCCAAAGATTCTGAAGAGTATGCTCACGCGAGATCTGCCGTAAGTGCTTCTTCGTGCTACCTCTCTTTCCTTTCTCCAACCAATTTATAAATTTCAGTTCCGCGGCTTTAAAGTATTTACCCCGGCGTGCACCCAGGTTTTATATCCGAGGTACATGCCGCCAATTTTGGTTTCGTTTTCGATTCTATGCGCTGGCAGTTTTGAGGTAAATTTTACTAAGAGAAACAATGCGCTTTAGAATTGTGTACTGTGATTTCGGTTGCATGTCAAAGGATCCTCGGGTGGTCGAAAGGAACGCTTTGCCGGAGCATGCCCTTGGTTGGTTCGGCACGTAAAACTCCCAGGTGTGGCTTTTGAGGCCGAGTTCAAACCAGGTGGCGGAGATAGCTCGAGCTTTGGGCGTGCGTCTTGCCGTGCAGGCGCACCTGCGGTCTGCTCGGCGGCTACTGCGGCTGTGCTGCGTGAACGGCGGGGCCTTCATCAAGGTGGGCCAGCACGTGGGGGCCCTTGACTACCTGCTACCCGACGAGTATGTCCGCACACTGAGCGTTTTGCACAGCGAGGCCCCTGCCTCGCCCCTCTCCAGCATCCAGCAGGTGCTCAGGGAGGACCTCAAGGCAGAGGTGCGTTCCTGCCCCCTTTCCTTTCGGACGTCGCCGAAAGAAAATGGGTAGGGCCGTGCAGCGGTTCTCAAACTGGGTTCCCAAGGGTTCCCCAAGGCACGCTCGAGGGTTCTTTTACTGTCCTGGTCGTGACGTAGAGTATTGTCTCAGATCCTAACAGATGTGAGCCAAGCATTATTGTTCACAAAGCTCGTACGCTTCTGCACCGCTCGAAAGGTTCATAAAAGAAGAAGGTCATTCGGTTACCAACTTGCGTCTGCTGTTCGAATTTTGAAGCGCACTCAAAACGTGGCACAAAAATATGGATTGCTCTTCCACTTCCATGTTCGCATGATTTTAGCCAATAACCAAAGCACTACCTTTCGGTTTTGAAATTCCGTGGCTCCTGCAATTTATTTATTTATTTATTTACAAACCCTCAGGGTCAAAAGACATTACAGGGGGGGGTAATAAACAGATAAACAAACGAAAGGTCAGAAAACATCAAGAAAGACTGGGCATTTTTTAAACCAATTGGATCAGGTAAGGTTGCCATATGGTGAGGAAGGTGGTTCCGTTCCACAGCAGTGCGAGGGATGAACGAATCAAAAAATGCATTTGTGTTGCAAGGCAGGACACCAACATTATGTTGATGGTCTAATTGACGGGAAATATATGACGGGGTTGTTAGTCTGCATAATGTAATTGTCTGCGTAAAGCAAGATTAGGCAAGGATAAGGATAGCTTCATAGAGGTTACACTAGAAGCGCGATGATATTTAGAAAGAATAAAATGTGCAGATTTGTTTTGAATCGATTCTAATGATTGAATGAGGTACTCCCTGCCAGGGTCCCAGATGGAGGTTGCGTATTCAAGCTTCGATCGAACCAGTAATTTATAGAGAAGGAGCTTGAGGGAACAAGGGAACAGAACCGAAAATTTATTCTTAGAAAGCTGAGCATCCGGTTAGCATTGGTAACAATGCTAAACGGATGCTCAGCTTTCACTGTGCACTTTATGAATGTTCCATGACAAGTAGGACTAAAATATTAAGGTGGGTTAGTTGGATATGCATTTTAGAAATAAATAGTGCAAAGGTCAGTTTGTAGTTGACCTTTGCGCTATTTATTTCTGAGAGACAAGTCGGACATTGTATGAAGACCAAGGTGCTTATACATTTGCACGGATTCTAATTGCATGGTGTTAAGGCAGTAAACAGGCGAAACTGTGTTACGACTTGATCTGCGCATTGATTTGCACTTAGTAATGTTTAGTTCCATTATCCATGTGCGGCACCAGTTATCTATTGAGATTAGATCACACTGCGAAAGGCTGATGTCATTATCGATTAATACTTCTCGGTAAACTATACAATCATTGGCAAATAAACAGAGGAAGAGATGCAGGCTGGCGGATCATTAATATCTATGAGAAAGAGCAATGGGCCTAGAACTGAGCTTTGTGGAACGTCCAAGTTAATGGGGGTTAAATAAGATTTAGAACCATTGACTATTACAAATTGTGAGCGATGATGCAAAAAACACTCAATCCAGTTAAGTGTGTTTGAGTCAATATTGTCGAGACCGGTTATAACGAAGTCAACGGGAATTGGAAATCACTTTGCTTTATCCGCTATTTCGTTATAACCAACTTTGGTTAACGAAGTGCAAAAGGGAATGGGAGATCGTGATCGCTTCGCTGTAGCCGCTATTTCGTTATAAGCGACTTTGTTATAATCAGTCTTTACAGTAGTAAGTTTACTTAGTGTGAAAAGCAATAATTGATGACTAACTTTATCGAAAGCTTTAGAAAAATCAAGGAATATGCAGTCCACCTGTGACCCACAGTCCAAAATCGTATGCAGATTGAGTGAAAGATAAAAGTTGTGTTTCGCGAGAGAACGATTTCCGAAAGCCACGCTGACATTGGTTAAGGAGGATGTTTTAGTCAAGGAAGTTGGCAAGATTCGAGCAAATAATATGCTCTAAAATTTTGCAGGGAACGCTCATTAAAGATAATGGACGTAAGTTATTGGGTGAATGCTGAGGCCCGCCCTTACGTAGAGGCACCACCCTTTTCACCTTTCAGTCATCACATAAAAATGAAATGTCTAAAGATTGCTGAAACAGCTTTGGCAAAATTATAGAGGAGTACATTTTAGTGCTTTTAAGGAATTTAGAACAGCTTAAGAGAATCAAATAGCTTAATTATACCTACAGAAGGTAAGTGTAAGTATCATATATTTTTTGTTTTGTAGAATTTCCATCTAGTTTTTTTATAACCTCCATCGCTGACTTGTACCTTGTGTGAACAATTTTAATGGACCCAAACTGGCCGACTGGTTATGGGTCCATCTGCTCTTTCGGCTACATCGTCTAGGTGCACCTTACCGGTAATAGATGAATCCACCATTTCAGAAATAATTGGCACTGCCTTGCAGAAGATGAGGTGAGAGGACTCAAAGGACGAAAGGATGCGGATATTGGGAAGGAGAGGGAAGGAGCATCTTAGAAGGAAGTTGGGGGCAAAAAGATTACTAAGTGCAACTCAATAGAGAGGGTCTTGTTTCCTCGGTCTAGGGAGTGCCCACACTCGCACGTGCGCAGACTTTCATGCCAGAACCTTCTAAAATGGTCCATTGAATTGAGTTGAATTACCTTGTCCTTGTGTGCAGCCTGAGGAAATCTTTGCCAGCTTCTCGGAGCGGCCGATTGGGGCGGCCTCCCTGGCCCAGGTGCACAGGGCGACCCTGCACTCTGGGGAGACGGTGGCGGTCAAGGTGCAGCACCCCAGCGTGCTGGGAAACTCGGTGGTCGACATGGCAACCATGGAGGTCAGACCCCCCTCTCTGCGCCGCGGGGTAAAGACGGGAGTGACTAATTGCAAGCGCAGTCATTACGTCTCCGATCGATGTGTCTAGCATCCTGTTCCACTTATGCGTCGAAACTGATCCCGGCATGGCATTTTGAAAGCTTGCATGCATGTATGATAACTGTTGGCACAGCGCACCATTGGCGTCGTAGACGGGCTGTCAGGTAAGTGTGTCATGCTGTGCAAAGCCACCGTAAATCATTTGCGACATAATTTACGTTGCAGTCTAGCTACACTCGTGTAATCGTATTACTTCGTGGCTCACGTTGGAGGCCCGGGGTTAGTGGTCGTATAGCACTGTTCAATTAGGTAGTTCATTTTGAGATTGGTTGCTCCCACTGTCTACCATATATATCCGGACAGACCTATAAGTCATTCAAAGAGGCTGGTCTGTGCCGTGTTGCCGTTACAGTGGCAAACTTTATCGCTTAAAGCTTGGCCACCTATTGCTGCGATCGCATTAAGCCGCTCGCATTTTTTTAAAGTTTTTTGAGCATTTAAAAGACCGTTATATGTACGCAGTGGCATTTGTTCGATTCATTTACAACTGCATACAAGATGTTCAAGACTGGACAGCTCTCGTGATAGCTTCACAATCACTATACGCAGTCCACCGACGAACCTGTAAAAGTAGTTACCTCCGGGACGGCTTTATCGGAATGGAGGAAAATCGAAAACACCAGATCTTCCCTCGAAGATGAAAAAGGCGAGCTTCGCTGGAAGGAACCTTTACCTACATGTTGTCTCGCCGACCTGTCCGCGAGACTGCTTCTCTTTTCTGGAACCCTCGCACGATTTTCTCGCCGGTGCTGGGATGTTTTTCAAGTCGTTCGAGCACACCATTCCCGGAGGTTCGGGAATTCCACACCCTTGTCTGGTCTTCGATCGACGATTATTTGTCCAACGCTGAACATAGATGCAAAAGAAATCTTCGAAAAAGAATAAGCTTCGACTACAGAATCCTAGGAACTGATTTGTACCTTCTGCAAGAATTTAGGAAGAATTGTTGGGGCCTTCCCCGGAAGTAACGGTAAGGTCGCGGTCACGCTGTCAATCCAAAAGACAGTCCGCAGACTTCTTTGCACGACATTATGGACTATCTGCAGTCAGGTATATATGCAAACCTGCGCGAGGCGTTTCTACAGATAACTTTGTCACTGCCTCTGCAGTGAACGCCGCTTCTTTTGTGCGATGCCTGAGATGTCTGACTGTGGCTTCCCCCCCAGCTGCTGGTGAACATAGTGGCCAAGCTCTTCCCCGAGTTCTCGCTCATGTGGCTCGCCGAGGAGACCAAGCGCAACCTTCCGCTGGAGCTCAACTTTGTCAACGAGGCGCACAACCAGGAGCGTGTGCGTCGCATGTTCTCGCACTTCGACTGGCTCGTGGTGCGTACACCATTTCTCTTCGGGCGCGAGTGCCTTCCGAGGTCAGTTTGGCGTGTCTTTACGTGCGGGGGAGAAACTACCGTAGTCTCTCGAAATGGTGTTTGTGCGAGACATAGTTTGTACCTAACTCCCGCTAAATGTAACTTCCTAGGTACGTAACTTAGAAATTTACGAAAAACTTTTTTTCTTTACTTTAGTGCGGTCTTCTCATCTTCTGGTAGGTGGAAACGTTTAAGTGCGGCTTCTGCAGTAAGTGGAACTTTTTTTTTTCTTATTCCCCCACACTCTCGAGGATCTCTTTTTGTTTCCCGATAAATATGAATTTCTGCCATTGAATGCTTTCTGCCTAGTGCCTCTGAGTTTCACTCTTTCAATTTCAGTGTATCGTAAGCTTTCTGGGAAAAAGTTTTTTTTTTTTTATTGAGTCATTCTAGATGACCTTTTGTAAGAAGGTTGCTCGACCTGGAAAACATTGTATTCTCGCCCGCGCATAGAATAATAATGCTATAAATCATGCCCATTTTTTGTCTTCAGCAAACTGAGATTGAGACATGCAGATGAGGTGCTTTGATTGCTTGCCCAAGGCGATAGCTAGTGCCAGAGTACAGTAGAACCTTGATTTTACGAAACCCGATTTTACGCATTGCCCGATTTAACAAACGAATTCGGATTCCTTGCGCAACATATGCTGGAAGAATTACTTTCTCGATTCTGCAAAGTTCTCGATTTAACAAAATAATTAGCGGGTTCAACTGTACATTATTTTGTCGTTTCCATGACCTTTCTCTGCCTCGCCACATACCTTAAAATTCCTTAAAAACGCCGTCCCCCGACATTGTCTGATTCCCGTACTTGTGACAGGCAGGTTCGTAGCGGGTTCCCACGTTTTGGTTCGCAATCTGCGCCAACAATATCGGTTCCCGCGACACGAGAGTTGTCCCCGCACATATATTTCGTCGTGAAGTGCGAATTTTCTGCATTCGTAATCTGCGATATCCGTTCCGTGACATTCAAGTTTGCAGGGAGCTTCCGCGTGTTTATTGCACCATGAATCTCGAATATGCTGCGTTCGCAATTCGTGGTATACTTTCCCGTGATGCAAGAGAGAGTAGCAAATTCCCGCGTGTTTATCGCACCGTGAAACGCAAATTAACAGTGTCCGCAATCTGCGGTACAAGTTCCCGTGTCGAGTGGTTTGCAGCGGGTGCCCCGGTATTTATTACTAATATTTTATAAACTTTCGCCGTCGCAATCCCAGAGATAGCCCATCCCATATTTTTTCATCATTTATCTCCATTTCGGGCGGGCATCCTTACGGGATTTTACGGTAATTACCAAACTGTCAGTCTCAAGCCAAGGATGCCACGTATGAACCAGCAAGAAATCCTAATTCAGGCACTTAATTGTTTGGTGATAATCTTAAAAAGTGAGCGACGTGAAGTGAAGTCTAATTGTCTGGAGCTTGTTTGACGATTTAGGTTTGAAGATGCCAGATGGCAGCCAAACTAGCAGCAGTGAAACCTAACTTTCTTCCTCGTCTAGCGAATTAGGACCAATATAGACGGACTTTAAAGGCCCTAAATTGCCAGACAAGAACCATACCTTGGCTCAAAGAACTGCACTATGCCTTGTCAGTCACCTTGTCAGTGACTGTAGTTATCATCTGCATATTGCAAATGCTTGGCCGCACTGATGCTTGGATTTGCTCGGCAGGTGCCGGGCATTCACTGGGGCCTCACCACGAAGCGTGTGCTCACCATGGACTTCTGCGAAGGGGGCCACGTGAACGACAAGAAGTACCTGACGGACAACGGCATCTCGGCCACCGAGGTAATCCCCCGCACGGAGGTTATTTCGACAGCGGCTCTTGGGCCCGGTCAGAAACTGGCCGTCGGACCTCTGGATTCCGAAAATTTGCCTAATTTACTTTGCAGAATCTCCATGGATTTTCTCGATGTCTGATTGAAAGCTTCAAGCTTTTTCATTTTGAGGAACGCCCTATCTGCCTTGGATGGAAGCCAAGGCAGATAGGGTGCAACGAAGCAGTGCACAAGCATTCAAACCCTGTAAAGAATGTTTGGCTCAGTTATGCATCCACAACTGGCTCAGATCTGCTGAAAGGGTGGAGAAAAGCTTTATTTAAGGGTGGTCAGGGATTATGCGAACTCGGGGAACAAACAAGGGTGCTTTGGGTTCCCAGTTTGAAAACACACGGTTTGCAGAATAGGTACTTGGGCTTTTGTTCCTCAAGTACCCAAAGCGTCTGCTAACCTATTCTCTCCTATGTCTATGCTTTAATTTTAGCAAAGTCTAAAGACTTTCAAACTGCCCTACTGCATCAGCACCAAGAAGGGGCAAGGGTCCCTCAGCTACAAATTCTAATGTGGGGCTATATTAAATGACTTCACAGGTCAATGACCCAATACTTCAGCATCCACTCCAGCATTGACGGCTGACAGTCACCGTGCTCATTGTTACGTCTTGTCACATATGTTATGTACTTGCGGTCGCACGTGCTCAGACCAGTGCAAAGTTTCTCTCCTCGTGAAGTTTCTCACTTTGGCTTATCACCAGCTTCACTTAGTTGCACTGAAATCGAGGCAAGGAGGTGGGGCATCTAGAACAGAAAGTTGTGGATTGCAACCTTTTACCAATTGTTTAGTGATTTATTTGAAAATACTATGACCCACATGTTGGCAGTGGTGTAGTCGGAGGGAGCAGCTCCAGCCCCCCCCCCCCCCCCCCCCCTCGTGAAAATCCACCCGACCCCATAATATATGCATGCCATTTAGACCCCCCCCCCTCACCCCAAATTACACTCAGCCACCCCCCCCCCCCCCCTTGCCTAAAATAAAATATTCCTGGCTACGCCACTGCACATTGGGTCATTGCAGGAGTGTCGTGAAATCAATTACATATTTAAGCAAACGTGGAAGAACACTCCCTACGTATATAATATTAATAATAGCCTGGAAAAGGTTATGGGAAATGTGCAGTTTTAACTAAAAGAAACAGCTATGTGTTCTTCTAATGCTAGCACAATGAACAGAATTTCACCAAGAACAAACATGATTATAAACCTTGAGACTTGGGTGGAAAAGTGTGATTGCAATAAGCGAGACAGAAAGAAAGAAAGGGGGAGGAAGCACAAATCAAATCTTCCTTATTGTTTTGATTATTTTTAACTAGGGTCAGGGTTTTCCATCATGTTCAATGTACACCAGCTCGCCTGCACTTCGAGCATTTTTTTTATGTTTTACCAAAAACAACCTTTTCTGCTTTCATCTGGAAATATGAGGCTTCCTGGTGATCATAGGTTTAGCTGCTGCCGGTCAAGTCTGATAAATCACTCGGTCAGTTAAAACTTTTCATTGCAGACAATTGTACACGGCATGTGGACTATTGAATTGGCAAGTAGTTTCCGATTGCTGTCTACGTTTCTGAGCATCAAGGCTGGTTAGCACACGGTGTAAAAAGTATGCATGTTTGCTGCTATTGAGATAATTTGTTTACTTTCTTTACGTATATATGGAAACTAACGGAAGTTGTGCTGTTATGAACTGTGAGAAGTTTGAAGTTTATTTGGTTTGTCATGTGCATTCTCATGCCCACGAGAAACCAAATAAACTTCAAACTTGCATTTCCTTGACCAAGTTCCTGCGATCTCTTGCGACAAACGCTGGAGCCACCTATGGGGTAGCCCTGGAACTGCATTTCACTAGAGCGAAGGTTTTGCATAATATTTTTGAGATCAAATGCACATAGTACTATCTACAAGAAATAGTTGTTTATAACATCGTCAATTTTTTTTTAGCCACTAAAGAAAGCTTAATGAGTGAGAAGAGTAGTGCAGAAATGATGAGTGTTCGATGGCTACTCGGTAGATGGCGCCAGCGTGTTCTGTAGTTGCAAGACATTTTAACGCGGTAGCGTTAAAAACTCATGTCCCAGAAAAGCCGGCCTCAATGGCGTGGCAGAGAAGCCGGCGTCGGTGGCGTGACAAGAAAATCCTGATTGGGCAATAGGGTCGTGACGTCACAGCCACATGACCTCGCGTGGGAATTTCAAACAAGCCACAATGCTCACATGAAATGTGACACCACGCTTAAAATAAAAGTGATTAAAAAACGTGACACGTAATGTGAACTAAAAGTCGCCACATGTCTCAAATGATTTCACTTTATAAAGTCATTCATTTGCCTTAAGGGGCTCACCCCCTAGGGGGGTCAACTTTTGAACCCTTGTCTTAAAATTAATGAAATTTACAGGGTAGGCTGGTGGTCATGCTAGAGGCTGCCTAACAAAATTTCAGGTCTGTCGGTTATATGAGAAGGAAATTAGAGTAGCTTCTATCAGCAACACGCCTACATTGTTTAGTTAATCTATCGTTAGAAAACTATTGCGATTTTAAAGATTTTTATTTGCTAGATATGTAGCAGAATGCCTAGAGGGTGCGGCTATGGAACATTTTTTCTAAAAAGTAATTCATTTCTATAAATTTTCTCTTCTGCAAAATTGGTCAACTTTTTGGTCTTCTGTGCCTTCGACAAAATGTCAACATTTTTTACAAAAGACATCCATAAAGTGACAAAAAATTTCCATAGCCGCACTCCTTATTAAATTTCAGTCAGGAAAAGGGAAGAATGAGCTTTCCCTGTTTTGCCATTATCAAACGATAGATTGACTAAAATGGAATTTATACCAAAAAGTGGAACAGAGAAAAATGTGTTCGAAGTGCTCCAAACCCTACCTTTTCTATAGCTTTGGTGGACAGAAAATAATTTATAAAAAATTAACTATACAGTGAAAATTAATGAAACGTTTTGGGAATACAGTAAAACCTCGTTATAACAAAATGGGATATAACAAACAAATGGATATAACAAAGCAATCATAATTCCCCTTGCTTGAATAGTTGGAAGAAATGGACATTGGCTATAACAAACGAATGGTTATAACAAAGTAATTACGACCACTCCTTCAACTTCTTTATAACGAGGTTTTACTGTACTCTCTAAATGTTGGTGGATGTAAAGATGTCATTTTTCATAATCAACTTTTTTTGCAGAAATTTTTTTTTCTGGGCAGTGTCTCCCCTTAAAGAAAAATTTGAAGAATTTTAGGTGGAATTTGAATCCACGACCCCTCTGTTGCGAGCCAGACACGCTGCTGACTCTGCCATGTCTGCCGCACTTCCTGCTCACTGCCAAGAAGAGCATGAGAAGCGAATGAGAAGGCGGGGCCCGATAACGCTGTCGCGTTCCACTCTTAAAGGCAAAGCTTTAGGGGTACTCCAGCGATTTTTTTCATGGTCGCTGATTTGCCTCAAAATTGGCTCAACACTCCGATAGACACGTCTGTACCAGTTTTCTAAGTATTGTGTGAAAAAAAAAAAAAACACTTTGTGAAGTTATTGAATTTTCCAATTCCGTTGTCATTGTGTTTCTCGATTTGAGAGCCCCTACTGGCCTCGCTGAAGTGTGACGACAGAACTGGTACAAAGTGGGCAGTAAACCATGCTCCCAACTGATTGCTAGACGTTTGATGATGGGAGAAGAATGCTTGGAAACTGATTCACTGAGAACTATGCAAAAAACGGCCGACATACTCTGTTTAAGACTACCTGCAGGACCTGAAAGTCTGCGCCATTTGTGACGTCGCACCACTGGAGAGCGCGTGGATATTTGAATGTTGGCTTCGGCATCATCTTCATCTACGGTTTTCTCACTTGCTATTTTGAATTTCGGGAAAATAAATATCACACCGTAAAGACTAAAGTCCGGGTATTCAGGAAATTCAATTTGTTTGGGTAGATCAGAAAAAGGCCGGAATTAAGCATCCTTCAAGTTTTAAGAGGTTCTAAGGTAACTCTGCCGTAAGCAAGTGTGTGAAGCATCCTTCGGGGTTTTCTCGGCAGGTGTCCGACCGGCTTGGGCAGCTGTACAGCGAGATGATCTTTGTGCAAGGCTACGTGCACTGCGACCCGCACCCGGGCAACCTCCTGGTGCGCAACAGCCCCAAGGGAGCCAGCCTGGTGCTGCTCGACCACGGCCTCTACACCGTGAGTCCCTTTGCTTGCCTGGGGAATATTATGAAGAAAATCGAAGATGGTTGGGATGACTTTCAGAGGGAATACCCTGGAAAGCTTGGGTGGGCAGATCCAACATTTCGGCACGGTTGAGTCTCGGCGATATGACGATAGTGACGCTTTATTATTCCGTTCCTCACAACGACCAAAGTCTCAATATAGGAAAACAATGTGGTTACGACAAGTAAATCAATATTTCCGAGCTCGCGTTTAAAATATGCATAATATGTGTAAAAGCATCGAAAGACATATTTGGTGAAACATTATTAAAAGACACTTGCGTGCTGGTAAAAAGAAACACTTCCTTCCGTTGACCGGGATAAAACAAACAAGAGTGTCTGCTGAAATACAGAGGCTCATGAAAGTTAACAGAAGACAGTATGGCCCCAAATAATTCTGTGCAACATAAAACAAACCAATTTCATAGAACAGTTGGTGGGTGCCATCGTATTTTTAGTCGACGGGTGGCAGGCGGAAGAGCGGCGTGCACGCTCGGACTCAAACATTTGGCGCCATTTTTTTAATTCTCCTGGTAGTTCGATTGAGCTTACATTCATCGAGGGTTTTTCGAGTTCTTTAACTACAGACCGAATCGAATGATTATTTTTCTTTTTCAATATTTAATTTTTTTTTATTTGTTTATGAGCACCGCCAGCTACTACTTTGTTCCCCAAGACATTCTTATTTTAGATTTCCTCTAATCCTTTCTTCATATTTTGGAGCGCTTGTATACCTAATTTTTCTCTTCCCTTGGCAACATTGTGTGAAATATGTTAAAAACATTTTTTGCTAAGTCAACTTATATCTGTGTGGTTATTTCCTATCCACCTTACTTTCTGGTATTTTCCAACTGTGGTTGTTAGTTCTAGAATAATTCTAGAATGATGCAAATGATCTTTATCAGTGTGATGCACATTATCTTTATCAATATGAATAAAACAGTGCCTTTTATGAGGCTACTTGTTTTTTTTTTTGTTATCTTTTTATCTGGACAATTAAATGAAGAAAAAAAAAAGAAACCTGTAATGACTTTAAGAAGGGTTGTCAGTGTTTCAAAATAAATAGATAAAAAGTCAACTGTACAGAACCTGATGAAAAGTCACTATGAAGTGCCAATGAAAACTTTTCCGTGTATATTTTTGTGACTGCAAACCTTTCTGTGTGCCTGGGGTCTCCTCTGTTTTTAACTGCACTTCGGTAGCTAGTTCCACAATACTCATTATTTTTTATGGTTACATACGTGAAACAAATTCTAAGAGACTGGGTTTCGATCGGGATGGGACTGGCCTCTCCCCAGGAGCTGACGGACCAGTTCCGGCTGCAGTATGCCAACCTGTGGCTGGCCCTGATCCGCACGGACCTGGAGGCACTCCGGTACTGGAGCAGCCGCCTGGGCATCTCAGGCGACCTGCACAAGATCCTGTCCTGCATCGTGTCCGGCAGGTCCTGGAACTCCATCACTCAGGGCATCGACCGCAAGAAGGCCACCAGGGCAGAGGTTGGCTCTCTTTCAAAGAACCTCTTCACAATTGAGTCAGCTTCATCCAACTTGGTCCCAGCTAGAGGGTTTCGTGTTTTCAGTATCGGTCAATAGACCTCCAAAACCGATCCCCAAATAATTTTTTTTTCAAATTGGAGAAACCCAGAATCGGAGCTTTCCTCAAATAAGGGAGTCCTGGTGAAGGCGAGCGGGTTGAAAGTGAATACATAAAATTGAAGGAATAAAACACGGAGGACAAATGGTTGTCCTGTGCTTGTCCTCCGTGTTTGATTCTTTCAATTTTATGTAAGGGAGTCCCAAGCTTTATGAGAACAAATCTTTCCTGCAGCCTTGTTTTGTCCTGACCCGGAACACGCAAGTCTGCTGCTTTCTTTGTGGACCACACCTGTCCTGTTTCACTCTCTTACTGGGTCATGGGAACACAAGTGTCGTTGTCCTGAAATGTTTGGAATTGAAAGAATTTTCTCTTTAGTTACACCAAAGTCTGGGTGGATTCATGGAGTATATTTGTGTTTGTTTTCTCTCTTCCCCCTTGCTTGACGCAGGGCCACGACATCCGTGAGTTTGCGAGCCAGCACCTGTCGCTCATCACACAGATCCTGAACATGGTGCCCCGGCAGATGCTCTTCATCTTCAAGACCAATGACCTGCTCAGGGGCATCGAGACCAGCCTCGGTGAGGATCGGCGGGCTTGCCATGAGAAAATGATCCTGAAAACAACTGCCAAAGTTAGGCTAAGAACTGAACATATTGAGTGGCGTCTACTAAAGTGACTAAATTATGATAACATGTAAGAATTCTAAACAACGTTGTCCATCATTTTCTCCTCAACCCTGAAGGCACAAGAGGGGCAGCCCGTTCCTTCATCACCATGGCCCGCTGCTGCGTGCGTGCCGTGTATACGGACCAGCTGCGGCACTGTTCCTCCTGGTGGTGCAGGGTGGTGGTGACTATGCAGGCTTGCATCGCCCAGTCGGCCATCTCGGTGTACCAGACGTGCCGCTGGCTGAGGACAACCGCCCTCGCCTGCTTCTTCTTGGGAAACACAGAGGCCGTCTAGGGGATGCCACGATGTAGGCTGGGGACATTCTGGTGGCACCCAGGGGAATTTCGAAAGTGTCTCGGGAGGCTGTGGAACAAGCTAGGGATATTGTGGTGTCCCATGGTGACAGGAGTTAGGGACATTCTTCTGACATCTAGGGGAGATCTGGGAAGTGTCTTGGGAGGCCCTCTAGCAGTCCAAGGACATTGTGGTATCTTATGGTGACGTGACTTAAGAACATTCTTGTGGCATCTAGGCAGATTTTGGAAGTATCTAAGGGATCTCTGCAATCATTTTGGGATATACTGCGGTGTCCTATGGGGACATGGATAATAACATTCTTTTGGCATCTAGACAGGTCTTGAAATTGTCTTGGCAGCTCTCTAGCAATCCAGTCACATTTGGTGTTTTATGGTGACATGGTTAGGTAAAATTTTTGGGCATCTACAGGGATTCTAAAAGCAAGTTCGGAGGCTCTGGAACAACCTAGGGATATACCGGTGTCCTATAGTGATATGCATTAGGGATATCCTGGTCACATCTAGGGATGAAGTGGTATCAAGCGATGTGTTGATGTCAGCTGCTAAAGTGTAGTTTAATGTCCTCCAGTGATACTGACTGCACATTTTTTTTTGGTTATGCCTTCTTGAAGTGAACTTTGAAGCATGTCCTGGTGTCCGATATTTTGAGCCCGTTTCAATGGTGGAGAAGAACCTCACTTGAGATCTTTGTTTTGTGTTTGTCATCCATTTGTGTTGCAGTCTCAAGATCAACATATGCTGAAGAAGCACTGAGCTTATTGGCGTTATTTATCTTCTTATAGTCCTGTGGTTTCTCGCAGTTTTGCCTTTTCAGAAGAGTGTATGAGCAAAAAGGTTGTACAGTCAAACCCGGATATATTGAATTGAAAGGGGATCTAATATAGTTCGAAATCTCAATAATTTGATATACAAATATATGGTAAATTAAGCTCGAGTTGAAATTTCCTGGCGTCTCTGCTAATACCGAAGATTGCAACAAACGGGAGCTTACCAAATAGAGCATATAAAAGCCGCTAAATGCGTTAGCGGAGACCGCAAACACCGCCGCCGTGCTTACCCGCGCGCCTGGTACAGCATAAATGACAAAACAGAAAAAAAAAAAAATTAAAAAAGGAAAAGCGAGACATAAAAAAATTATCTTCATCCATAAAAAAAAAGTTAAGCAAGCAACAACAAAATTTAAAAAAAAAGAAAGGAAAAAAAAAACGGGCAAAGCAGTAACGACAAAAGAAAAAAAATTCAGCCTTTCCACTGGTGAAGAAGGAGGAGCAGTGGAGCTGTAGCTTCTGCTCTCCGCGGTGGCTTTCCAGACGAGCGGTCTGCTCTTCTTTCACAAGGAAATCTGAAGCGTCGGACGCAGTGGAACTTTAGGCGATAGCGGCCTCGCGCCAATTGCGAAACCCTTCGCGCTGCTGCGCACATCGGCGCTCGTTCCGTTCCCGCTCTTCGAAGAAATGTTGCCGCCATCTTTGAGTGACGGCGGCAAGCAGACAACCGGCAAACATAACACTCTGGACATCTACCGCCATCTTTGAGCGATAACGGCAAGCAAAGTGTTGTGTCGGCCACGGATGTCGACATTTGTTTGGTACCGGACACGATCCTAGGGAACCTAGCCCTTAACAGCTCCGCTGTAAAAAAGGTAAACAAAGATAAGGCGTTCAAAGTGCAGTTGCACAACCGTAAATTTCGGCACACTCGACTTGCTGAAGACTTTTGCTGTTTTATTTTGGGGCTAGAGGGGCGCGCAGCATCAGCAGTGTTCGGGGAAAGGGCGCAGGCTATACTGTTCAAGAGCAAGCACTCCCTGCTCCCCTTATGCGCGGCGCACGCCGCGTGCCTTTCCACATGACTTAGCCATCCTCCACTTTTTTTTTATGCGGTTCATTCTCTTTACTTTTACAACTGCTTTTTAGCTGCGTATCTTCCCACGTGCATGTTGGCTTGGCGGTCTGCCAGCCACGCAACGCTAGCGATGTGCTCGCCACCAGCGCAATCGGGTCGCGGGAAAAGCAACAAGGGCGGTCAGGCTTCGTTTGTTTTATCGAGTGTCCCTGCCATGGGAGTTGGATACAAAAAGACAAGGCTCCTATAGTATTGCATGTGATTTTCAAGGGGATGTTTGGACTGTTTGATATAAACAATAATTCGAAATACCCGAGTGTGATATATAACCGGGCTGGACTACACACTTTGAATGGTTTGAATGCTTGTGAAATGCCTGGGTGAAAAAAAGCCTGTCTGCCTTTGTCGTGAATGGTGCTTTGGGGATTTTTCGGGTCGTCTGCTACTTGTCAGAAGGAAGCAGTGAGTATCGTTATCGTTTTGATGAAAGTGCCTTTATGCATGGCATACTAACACAATGGTTTGCTTTTTAAATAACAGTAATAATAATAATATTAATTATTTTCTCAAGAGCAGTGGCCTGCAAAGGGGCAACAGCCCGTGCCACAAAGGTTTGTGGCGCCGCGTCTAGTGATGATTATGTAATGATACTATAATTGTACCCCTTATTGTTTCTACTTGCATTTTTTCCCCCTTTGGAGTTAGTCTGACATTCTGACATTGTTTCCAAATTACGCAGACATGCCCACTGCAATTTTTCTTTGTGTAGTTTCGTTCCTTATCGCTTTCTCGGAGCTCTCCGTCTCGGTAGTTCTCTATACAGCAGTTGTCGATTTGTGAAAAAGGAACCACCAGCAAACTGGCAGCCAGCTAAGAGCATTCACCGACCTCCTCCTTGATGACCTCTTCCTACCAGCTGCTGCTACCTTTGCTCCCTGGAGATTCTATTGCTGACATTTTCAACTTCCTACTCTGATTATGTTGTACTTACTAAGCCCTTTCGTTTTCTGTTTTGTTGGGGTATCTCTTCGTTACGATATCGGTTAAGTGCAGTGAGATGTTTAGTCGTGCAATTGTCCTCGCTCATAAGGTGCTGCATGTATGATAATTACTCGCATAAGCTTTCCCTGTGATGAGTTGCTGTGTGATGCGACCGTTATTATTGCGGTAGTCATCGAACTGAATTGGTGGTAAGGACTAGTGTCGACTAATTGTGATATTTGTACCCTCTTCTCATGCAGTAATAGGCTGGAAGCCATATTTATGGTTTTCATTGATGAATGTGGAGTGTCATTTTTGTATTAACATATGAAATAAGTACAAAATGTAATAATTCGATTAGTTTTTTTTTTTTCATTCTGTGCTGGTCGAACTTGGTTCATAATAATTCACGACGAGTTCGGAGAAACTTTATTAGAAACTGGAACTATGTCTTCTGAGAGGCTTGAAAACTTCACTTTCCAAATTTGGATTGAAAAAAATCTCAAACCTTGTCATTTTTCTAACTTCAACCTCATACATATTTGAAGTCTTGAAATATTTTTAATTTGAACCTTCAAGAAATTGAAACCCAATCACAATATTTTAGAAACCTCGAAATAGTTTAACCTCGGCTGTGTTCGAAGGTTGCCAACTCTCCAAAACTAAAATGAGAAAATTTTGAACCATTTCAAACTCGAAGTTTTTGAGGTTTGGGACATCTCTAGCATTGACCCGCCGCCCTCGTATTTTGTTTGTCAGTACTAGGGTCATTTTTATAAGTAACAAGAGGTTTGTTCCATTCCAAGAACACCTACCGTAATATCCCGAGTCATCGCCCACCCTACTGCCGCCTGAAATTCATAAAAAGTGGGGTGGGCCATGTCTCGGTGAGTTAGCACAAAAAGTAAAAAATCGGAAGAAAACGCCATTTTTTTGCGTATTTAGCGTAGCTGCAGAAGAGATACATTAAACTCGAAACTCGAATTAGTTTTATTGTTTTATACAAAGCATGCTTATGAAAGAACGTTTTACTATCGCGAAGTTAGTTGCTTGCATGCGCGCCATGAACACCGCCGATCGGCATACAGCTCCAACGTTTGTTTCTTTGAAAGCACGTTACACCGCTACGTTTTCTTCGTTTAAATTAAAAAAAAAAATTTACAAGAAAATAGAAAAAAAAAAAAACAGTCACAACCAGCGAGCGAGCGAGCGGACCAAAGAAGCGACGAAGAGCGATGCTGGGAAAGCCGGCGATCGCGTTGGTAAACACTTCGGCGTCGAACCAAGTCGGGCGCCTTGTCAATCGCAAACTCTTGCGCATCTTTTTCGTTTGGTGCATACATCCGTGCGTTCGTGCACGGCGTGCTATCAACGAGGGTTAAGGCGGCGTTTCTGCGTGGCGTAGACGGCACCACAAACACGGAGCTCGAGATGGGACGCTCTACAAACGTTTGTGTGCGTCGTTCCAGCAAAGCTTTATTTACCTGTTGGTTGTGTCTTAAACACTGCAAAACCGCCTTGACGTGTCGGGAGAAGAAGCGGGTTTGCGGCGGAGACAGACTTTGACCTTAAACTTCGCGGTCACATTCCAGGACATGGGGAATTCGCTTACCTCGCGATTCCTGGATGGGTTACTGCATGTGTTATGTTTCCGACTTTTTATTTTTTCTCGGGACCATCTTTTTGTAAGCAAAACAAACTTTTTATCTTGTTATCTCCATCGTTTTCTTTTCGCACGGATACACTACGACTTCGAGGTCGCTCGCGGTGAGAAATGCATAAACAAAGAAGTGTCTTTCTCTCATTTGTTTTACTTTGTCACGGACATCCTCCAACTGTAAGGTCTGCGGCCGCATCATTCGGTTAGGATGAATGTTCGCGGATGGCGGAGGCAGCATTGGTGTATTTAAAGGGGTGGCCGATGACTCGGTGTTTTTTTTTAAATCGATATTAGCCCAAAAAAGGGGTGGGCGATGATTCGGGATATTACTTTGTCTGGCTGTTGTTGAATGTGTTGTTTGGCGTAGAGGTATACTCAACATTTTGAAGCAACCCGACACCGAGGAATACAAAAGTTGACATCAAGAGAAGGCGAATGTCTCAAACACAACTAAAATTTTACTGCGGACGGAACCCATTATATAAGGGTTGAACAAACTGAAAGAAGGGGAAAGAGCCTTCCTTACACCACTCTCGTTTGACACGAAGGAATGAAATAACATCAGACTCTCCATAATTAAGTCGCCTTAGAGCACACAGATAACACTGGGAGAACAAAGCCAGTGGGGGAGGGCTATGACGAATGAAAAGACCATGCGGTGGCCTCAAAAACTCCTAAACATCACTAAAAAAAGGCTATTAAAAAGGCTTCCATTCTTGTAAAAGACAATGACTGCTTATTATACCCAACTGACCTGATGTGCTCATATTTTTATTTACCAGACTATGGTCTTTAGAATGTGTTCTACTAGTACTTCACTTGGTAACATGAGGAGAAAGCAGTCTTCCCACAAACTGTGTTGTCAAACAAACATTTTCTCATGATATATATATATACATATATATATATATTTTTTTTGTTTTGTTATAGGCCTGGCTTGCTAAGGACAACATGTATGTGATGATGGTAGCTTTGATGACTTCTGACATAAAATGCAGTGATGGGAGTGTTGTGCCAGTTGCATAAATTGCGCCATGAGCGAAAGTCTGCTATGCATCATGTGCCGAAGTTTCATTTTTAGTTTTCACTATGAATTGCTCAACACCTGCGCCTAAAATAACTTAAGCAAATGAGAAAAAAAAACTGTTGGTCAACTTTAATACACTCAAACCCGTTTATAACAGACAAGGAAACGCTACGATCAGTTCGATATAGCAAGTAATTCGATATAGGAAAACCCATTTACAACGAAGTTCCACGATGCGTTGGTTGTAAGGCGATCGAGATTGGAGAGCTTCTCTTTTTTTCTCATATATTCGCTTCCGGTTTGTAACAACACACTGGAAAGTTTTTTATTATTTTATTTTTGTGCATGCTTGCAGAGTTTGTTCTTTTAGCTTATCTCCTTTTCTGAATCGCTTCTCATCGTGGGCAACCGTTTTGGGATAAAAAGTTTTTTTTTTTTTTTTTCTGTACCTGCTTGCAGAGGATAATTTTAGCTTTCTCCCCTTCTGGATCGCGTCTCTTCGCTCAATTTTGTTGGCAACTTGAGCGACTGGTGAAGGCGAACGGGTTGAACATGAATACATAAAATTGAAAGAATAAAACACAGAGGACAAGCACAGGACAACCACCTTCAAAGAAAGTGGTTGTCCTGTGCTTGTCCTCTTTGTTTTATTCTTTGAATTTTATGTATGCAACTTGAGCTTTTGGAATTTTCTTTCTTGCCCACTTTTATAGGGGGAGAAGGGACAGGCCAGAAGACGACTGTTTGCGCGTTTTTGGAAGCCTTCCCGGGGGGAAAGGTTCGATATAGCCAATATGTTGTTCGTTATAAAAAGTACTTTTTACTTGCATTTTTATTTAAATTTTCCGCGAGTTCGATATCGCCAATAATTCGCTGTATGTGGGTTCGTTCTAAACGGGTTTCACTGTATTTACAGATGTAGGAGGAAATGAAAATGGCACAAATATGCATTTGACAGCTCTAGTCACCGTATTAGCGGCGTTCGCGAACTACAGGGGGCGCTTCTCGCTATCATCATCATCATCATCGTTTGTGACGTCAAGGGTAGGACAGACTGGGACAGACCGTGCAGATCTTGGATCCCTCGACTCTTCAGCTCGCTGCATGCGCTGATTGGGTAACGCGCGGCAAAGCCTGTTTCACGCGTTGGGTTTTTTATTTGGTGAAGTGACGCTTGTAGTAGGGTGTTTTACCATAGCTTGAAACCATAGCACGCGTAGTCGTGCTAACAAACACTTGGCGCTAAGGTGTCGAAGCGCTGGGATGGCGGTGTGCTGTGCTCTACCCCTGTACAGAAAGCTGAATGATCAAAATGGAAAATAGAGCGCTTTACCCCACTACAGCACCTGCCATGGCGAATAGGGTGTCTTTTTTTTTTTTATTCATTTGGACAAATGAATGGAACTGTGAAAGGATTGTCTCATCAAATTTAAAATAGGAAAGCGAAATTCGAGAACGTCTCGCGTGTGTAGTAAACAATTTAGTGAAAGTGACTCCGTGTTTTCACATGACGTCAATCCGCCATTTTGTTGTTTGTTTTTTTAAACAAATTTACTAATATGAAGGATTGCATCGCAACCTCTTGAGGGTATTTCAGCGTAGTAAGACTTATAAACTTCTGTGCTGTACGCATTTAAGGGGCCATGTAAAACCTTGAAATGCTCGCCTTCGGCACACGCCAAACAGCTCACAACAACAAAATGGGGGACAAAATTACGTCAGTGAAAACACCCTGTCAAATATAATGTGTTCTGCGAGTGCTGGTCTCTTATTAGTTCCGGATTCCGTTTTTTTTTTTTATATTGTAAACCAGTAAACAAACATTTCCTCAAAAATACCTGGCAGGAAGAAGCGATGGCTGGCTTACGGAGTCGTTTCAATTAAATCTCTGTTCATCCACCCGCTCGACAGGAAACGTGCGAGATACCCTCGCGATCAAAGTATTAAATCTATTAAGTCCGCGACACTTCAGCGTCCCAAAAATTAAGGTATACACCTGCTATGAATTACTGCCGTTTATATGTTTAATTTTGCGAACACAAATGGCGCATAATACTTGAGGCACTTCTCAGCGAGCGATTTTAAATTTGTAAACCATTAGTAAATATTGGGTGGAATAAAATAATTAATTGACTGATTTTGCCGGGTCATGTCTGAAAATTTAACAATTTATGAAAGTGTCTGTTTTTTTTTCGAGCAGAAGTCGCAATGTGACAAACTTCTTTGCCAGGTATTCGATGCAGGTGGCTAAGCGTCAGTTGCTGATGCTCGTCAGCAACTGTCGAGTCACACTTGGATAGAAGCATCGGTATCGGCAAGCTCAATGTAGCTAAAACAAGTGTGCGGCGCTTTGCAATACAATGGTGCACAGCTAAGAAGACAGCACGTCTTTTACTCTGGTGGATGCAAAACCGTTTCCTACTGCAGCCTCCACAGATCCGAAAAAAACAAGAATCAGAAAGGCTGTAAATAGCCCTGACGCACGTCGCGCAAGCTATAATGTCAAACTCCAGGTTTCTTCTTTCTTTTAGTATAAAAAGCAGATTTGTGGCGCTGTTATTCTCTAGAAAGATCACTCACAAAAACGTCATACACGTTTCTTTAATAAATAAACCATTTTTAATCGGCGTAGATGCTAACAACATTGCCACTCTCTTCTTTGACAAAGCGCGTCGTCTGTTCGCACCCTACCAGCTCCGTCAGAGGAGGGCACCCGCAAGGTGGCGCCACCAAAACATCTCACTTTATGGTTTTGAGTGTCGGTGATGTACTTATCATAAAACGGTGATTTGGGAGCCTTGTTTTTATGCGAAGAAGGGTTTGAACAAATGGGAATACCAGTTCGTCAGCGACACGGGCGTACCAACCCGGGGGGGGGGGGGGGGTCAAGGGGGGCGCTTGCCCCCCCCCCCCCAGTTCTCAGTGGGCAAGGCATGTATTTTGCCCCCCCCTGAAACCGCCGCTACTGGGCTGGGCAAACACTGGCCGGCGGCGCCCAAGGAATACCAAGGGCACCGCCCCCAGACCCGCGGGGGCATATTTTAACGCGCAGGCCATACACACCCCAGCAACGGCGCTCACGCCGGATTGGATGGTTCGTGGAGCGGTTGCAACGCGAGTTTCCGAAGCGGTAGCGTATACCTTAGTGATACGATATCTGCCTCATACGTAGCGGACTTGGGTTCGATTCACGGTGTGGGCTTACTTCTTTTATTTTTTCTCCAACATTTTGTTTTGTCAAGGCATTTGGCGATATTTACATTTCTTTTTGGTAATTAACACTAAAAAAAAAAAAAAAACAATGTTGTTGACGAAATTTCGCTGAACTAAATGGTATTTACGGAAGTTCATGGGAGACAGCGGGGCTTGGGTTGCCGGCTGGACGCCGCAAAGCGGCGTGTACAAGGGGAGGAGGTTAAGTGTAATTTTGTAATTAGTAGCCGCATACTGCCGCCGCGTAGCGGCGTGAACGCAGGCGGGGTGGTGGGTTAACGCGCTTCGAGTGTACACGCGCCGTCCGAATCCGAAATTTAAATTCCCGCGCGTTGCCAAGCAGCTAATCCGCGTGAGCGTCGTTGCTAGGGGATCAATCGTCTGCGCCATAAAAATTGGTGATGGACCGTATCTGCCGAACTTCAGATTCGGCAAAGTTCGGCACATGCCGAAATCTTGAAGAAAAGTTTGGCAAAGATTCAGCGAAAATTCGGCAAATGTCTGCGCACGCGCGCGAACGCGACGGGGCCGTGGATTGCAAGTGGACGCCGAGCAGTCGTGCTGTGACCATCGTACAGTTCAGTACAACCAGTGGTTACGGCGAGGTGCGGAGTAGGCAACACGGTAACTGTGCGTTTGTGAGCCTTTGGGAGTGTGGTTCTCTTCAATATTGTCTGCCTCAAGAACAGACGATCGACCAGTAATTTACGACGTCCACTGCGCAAGTGACAAATGATGCGGTACATTCTGGATAACGTGATTTCAATTTGACCTTTCCATTGATGCAACGAGGTAGTTGAAACATTGACTGACAGCTGACAATTACTTTCAGTGTGCGCAGCCCACTGCTGTCAAACGGGCAGAGTCCCGAGAGCTGGCCAGGATGTATGGGATGCAGGAGGCATCCTCGTCATAATGCGATACATATTTTCCCCCTTCTTTTCTTTCCATCTTAAGTACTTTCTGTAGTGTGTATATTCTGTACATATATAGGTCTGTTTTGTTTTTTCACATGTGGTGGTGGGCTGGCAGGCACTCTGCGTAAGGGTTTTCAGCTTTCTGCCTAGCCACATGGACCCCTTCCAGTACGTGCAAATAAAATTATTAGTATTATTAATATTATTATAATATTATTATTATTATTAAAACAATCCTGTTTGCGGCTCACAAGTAGTTTGTTCCAAAACAGAATAATATTGCTTTTTTAGTTCGCGTTATTTCGCGATTTTCATGTATCGGCATAATACTAAACAGAACACTCATGCTCGACGTTGCACATCCGACCATTCCTAACTCTTCCCATCTTCCTAAACGTCCGTGTGTGTCCTAACATCAGGAACCATCATTTTAAAGGTTAAAAACGGCACGTTGCGAATATGTGACGCACACTTTCATGCAAAGCTGACGTCAAGTGACAAAAATCGAAAAACATGCATATTTACAATATTGTTACCTCTTCTGGTGAAGGGTCAGCAACTGCTGCGTTCGTTTTCACGCACGAAACGGTGGCCCCCATGGGAAGTAAGAACGCAGTGGTTCCCTTTATTTTAACAATGTAAACACACTTGCAGGCGTGCGCTGATGAAGCCTCAAAACCAAAGCTCTCGTAGCGCGATTCGGGACTGCGCCGGCTACTACCCAACCTCGTTGTCACGCCACTTTCTGCAAGTAGACACTAAAATTGCCAGGAAACACCAAAAGTGACGCGCTCGTCGCTTTGCGTCTGGCTTTGGCTGCGCGTACCTAGCGTTAATAAAGCCAGAATGGTCGCGTTGGAGCTGGTGCATCTACATGGTCACCGACTATTCGCGGCCATAAGTTTGGGTGTCGCCGCCTGGTGGAATTTTTTCGCAACCTAGAGTGAGGATACTTCACCTTCCTCTGCTGGTGCAAGCACGTGCAATGCCAAGGTTTTATGCACTATGGAAATGAAAACATAACCGCGTCGGTGGCAGGTGCACTGCCCATAGGGAGGAAAACAGGAGCACCTTTGGCGAGCTTCTTCCCGCGAATAGGGAATTTCAAGCATGGCGCATGTGCAGGCATGTGCAGCCTGCGCGTGAACGTAGCATTTATTTATTTATTTTATCGCACATGGCCTGAAGACATTACGGTGGACAATGGACAAAAAGCTCCTAAATAACATGCACCGAGAAAAATAGGCAGGGGAATATAAAACAAGCAAAGCATCTTAATACACGCGCAAACGAATTCAGGGACTGGGCAAGCTTGTAAATGCACGCATGTGCCAGCACGACTTTTTGTTGAGGGACTAAGATTCCGCCTGAATACGGTTCAGCTCCTTAAAGAAATCCCACTGCCATTTTAAGGTTTACGGAACGTTTCTATTGGTTTTTTTTTGTCTTCTCTGACTCTACCTTCGTGCTATGTGTGTCAACGTTCCTCAAGTACCATCCTTGAGTGTTGCGACAGAATGTCAAATGATGAATAAACTTCTTTATTAAAAGATCAAAAGAACAGATGCTGGTGCCTTGGCGGTCACGGGAGATCGATGTCTTTCCACAGACACATAACATCGCTTCCTTTCGTCTTGAGCGCGATCCACTCCTTCATTCGCTCAACCTGCACGGGGGAAAAATGATTCTTCCAATCTCCGACGACGCCCTTACGTACAAGGTCACCGAGAAACGGTTTTGCAACGGGACCGCCAAATAACGCCGTCTTTGATCGAACACCCTCTGGCATCTCACTCGGCTCGGTCACACTCCGTTCGGCGGCTTTTGTCTTCATCTCCTTTTCGAGACCTTTCATTGCCTCCAGGCTCACGTTTGAGACGATTCGTTCGAGAAGTTCGGGGTGGTCCCGGAGCTTCCTGCCGTACTCTTTCCCAATGAAGTCGGCCACCTTCAAAACGCACGACTCGGTGTCCTTCTTAAGGCCCTCGTAGGTCATGAAAAGAACGTTGGGGTCGCTCCCATGCGCGTACCAGGACAGAAGATGGTCGAAGTAGTCGCCGAAGAGGACTTTTCCTCGGACGAAGGACTCGAAGAACTCGTCGAAGGTTCCGTCCTCGAACTGGTGCTGTAGCCTTGTTTTGACGTAGTAATAAAAAGAAACGCAGCAATCGTACGGGTTCCTGGAGACGTAAATGTATTTGGCACCTTCCGAGTATGGCTGCTCGCTGAACGGCAGGTGCGTCTTCATGGCCACCGGTCTGGGCAAGTCCTTGTCTGGGATGCCCCTGCACTCGAGAAATGGGACGGACCTCAAGACGTCTAGCATGCTCGGCGGACGGACGCCATCGTTGAAGATGTTGTAGGTGATGTACTGCACCCAGGTTGTGCCGCACTTGGGGTACGATACGATGAAAATGTCGCCCTCCTGTGGCTCGTAGGACAGTACCGATCGGACCGTCTTTTCCTGGAATTTGAAGGGGATGTATGGGCCCTCTACGTCCCGGTACACCTCGGAGCTCATCCTTCAATTAACAGGGATTCGATCTGCAAAACGAGAAGTAGGGCAAGAACATTGTGAGCTATGATTTAGGTAATAAATAAAGTTATGCGATGAACGATAGGCTCGCTGTGGTCGGTCTTTTACGGTTAAAACCATCAAAAGTCCCGTTAGTGAGAGGTTTCATTGCACTCCATCCTTAGGCTTACTTACACTATTTTTTCACGCCTGAATGGGGTTCAGAAACACCATATAGACTCCTTAGATAAAAGAGCGCCATCTTTCGCACGGAAAAATAACACTATAGCCTCGGACGCCAGCTTCAAGGATACCGCGTCGCTCATACAAGTCTGCGCAAGTTTCGATGTTGTAAAACTAATCACAATACGTTCGCGTTTTTTTTTTTTTTTTTTTTTTTTTAAAGTCAGATGGAGAGAGGTTTGGTAACCTGAATTAGAAAAAAACTATTCATCTTGTTCTGCCGTGATGCCCAGACAAAAAGTCAGCCGCGATTGGGGTGGCAACTTCCCGTTTGACGCAGAGATTTGCAAGTGAGCCTGATACACTATGGAATCCCCCTTAAAAAAATACTGAACTAAATATATCGATGTCTATAATAGGCGGTGCACTATCTTTCCATGAGTCAGCAGCTGCCGGTGTGCGCTACCGCACGCAACGAAATCGACGTCATCTTATTCCCATTCGAGCTTATTAAGCGTGAATGGGCGTCAATTTCGTTGCGTGTGCTCGCGCACACCAGGGGCTGCTGACTCATCAAAAAAGATGGTGCGCCGCTTTTTATAGACACTGAAATGTTTGGGTTCAGCGTCCTTTTAAGTGGGCATAGTTTTTACATAAAAACGTTTAACGCAACGTGTAAAAATTGAATCGGCTCCCCTAAGTATAGATTTATCGCTAGCGTATTGCACCACGTTTGTGTTCAGAATTAATTCGGTAATTGCTACTTGGAAAAATAACACATTAAACATCATAAATATATCTATCTATTAATTTTATTTCGAGTACAAGGGTCCAAGGCTACTGCTTTAGCTGTATAAAGAGTTTGGCGAGCTTCCTTTAAAGGGGCGATGCAACGATTTTTGTATTTTGCGAAATACCGCTTAGAACGGATCCCTGACGTTAATGACCTGTGAAATACCCGTTCGTTTTTCATTACACGCAATCGAGTTTGCAGATAAAAATAATGAAAAACGAGCAGAGTTCACCCCCTCAACTCGCAGCAAGAACAAGCGGCCACGTGATCTGGAGCCGATTATATGCCACCAATGTTATCATAGCCATGCGCTGGGGTTGGTAAGGCACAGGACACGCGCTGAGTTCCAGACATTGTTATGGTTCGGCTGTTGTCGTCATTGCAGCGATTGGACACGGGCTTCTACCCGAATTCGTCTCGAGCTGTCGATTATCACGAGCCCAAATCGTGTGTCCACGCCATCCTCGGGTCCAATCTATGAGCCGCATTCAAATATCGTCACTTGGCGGTACTGCTACCGCCCAGCTACGTCATCAGGTTTTGCGAAGGAGAGATTGAATGAAAGGATCGCTTTTGCCCTTAAAATTACACCGCCACAAAGAAGGTTCTTGGCCAGTGGCGTTGCGTGCGAGTATCCCTGAGTCCCACTAGTGCTAGTAAGCTCGTGTAAAGTGAAAAACATTCCAATTGAATATCGTTGCACCGCCCCTTTAATATAGAAACTCCTTTAGTTAAAGTGACATTTTTTGCGCCGTGTGATTACGATCTCCAACTCCCTTTACTAGAGGGACCTTAGCTAAATGTACCTCTACGCTGCCGTGTGAATGGGTTATTATAGTGTCGGCACTCTACTCCCTGATATTGTTGTGGGCGCCGACATCTTGGTGGTAACTACAGAGCAGACGCAGCTCGTCATGATTGAAAAGTGCGACTTCCCATGTAGTAATGCTTGGCTCGGTCGCGAACTGTTTCAACATTTGTGAAAAACAGAAAAGATTTTCTTGTGATCTCAGATAAAGCATCATATAACTGGCAACCATGATTTAAGGCACCAAGATTGGTAAGTTTCGTTACTTTGAAGGGTAGTTTATCTAGTAGCTCTAGTTGCCAGAATTGTGGACGCATAAGGCCGGGGTCACACAGCTCATACGTAATACAAAAGACAGTCTCCATACACGAGTCACCACAACATCCGTGGTTCAAATGTGCCAAGTCTTCTCTTTGAACTCATTGCCGGGCGGCATTCGAAGCACAGATATCGCGGTGAATCACGTTCGAATCTCTATGCAGTCTGTCCTTTGTACGATGTATACTGTACTTAACTGTCCGCACTTCTAGCAGTGTGGGATAAATAAATAGCCACCGTCTACTCGTAAATTCGATATTCGCCCGAGGGTCCATTCAAATACGACCGAAAAATTATCACTCACCTCTTCAACAGTGGTAAAGGGCGAGCAAACTCCCAACAGTATGCGCCGATGATTCTTCAGCTTTCTTCAGCTTCGCCGTCCGTTGCAACAACCGCGCAGAATTGCGGACGTTTCCTCGATGAAGCTACCGCTATTCAAAAATTCATCTTTTTCGCGTGAACCTTACAAGTGACGATAACTACGGACCTAGCGGGCTAGTCAGAGTGTCGGAGCGAGACACTTGACAACTTATCGTTTGAGTGCACTCCTGCGGAGAACGGTCCCGTTCTTCCCTTCCTTGCTTTGATTTGCTAGAAAAGGGGGGGGGGGGGGGGGGGGGGCGTAGCGTTTGGCACGTGCCAAGTTTTCCTGGCACAGAGTTTTCCAAGCGGATATACATTCGCATGTTTGCTTCAACACCGCCGGAAACAGGTGCGGTTGACGTCGGTAGCCGACCGCCTGCTTGAAGAGCGTTTCCGCGTTTCGACATTTTGTCAGTGTTATTGAAATATAGGTGTACAAAAAATGAAGCTGCGTTTCTTCGGTGCTTCGCTGCAGATTCTGCCGAAAAGCTCCATTTCGACTTTTCTTCTATGAAGACCATATTCTGCTGATTAAATTGAGTGGACCCTCGTTTCCTTTGTCCTAGCGGAAAGAGACCACCTCGCTTCTCTGTCCAGCCAAACGCTGCTCTTCTTTTTCGGGCTTATCATTGGTACAATGCGCACGCCGCTGGGCCTTAAAGGCCGGTTCACACATGCAGCGAAGCGCTAATGTAGCGCTTCTCACGTGTCGTCTGCTACTTATTGTCTGCCATGAACAACGGTATTGACGGTGCGACACAAAGCTGGTGAACTCTCCCCTCAGTACGCGCTTAGCGCGAGGTCAGCGCTCCGCTTGTAGCGCTCCGCTACATATGTGAACGGGCCTTAATGGACCCTTGCTTCTGTTCGGCGATGTCTTCTGCAGTCCGCTTCTTTCGATCGCGAGGCATTAATATTACTTCCAGCAGGAATTCTATACACCCTTTTTGAAGGTTGTGGGCAACTTGGGGATCCAAAGCGTTAGCCCAGGTTCCTCGCCTGCCAAATCGTCAGTGGCCATTTCCACTGCAAAAGGGCCAAGGGATTAGGCCACGCGAGCGGCGCTCCGCCGCTGATAAAGGGCCGTCTCAGCCTATGCGCTGCGGGGGATCGCGGCGCGGGTATCTTTAAATGTGTACGTTTTGTTGAACGAGTGCCTTGTGTCATTCACCGAGACGGGTGGCACCAAAGGTAATTCCCAGACTGGCGCCCAGACGTGAAATGCTGCTCGTCTGTGAAGATTGCCGCTAACCGGGTTCGTGTTTGCTTCTTACATAGTCATTTTTGAGTTTCTAAGTTTAACCGCATTAACGGGGCTTGTTTTTTTTTCTTTAAATTCACTTGAGCGAAATGAACTGCCTTCGGAATCTCTTACTGATGTCGTCTACGGAGGGTGCCGCCGAAAACGCGAGCGGTGACGACGATTTGACACTTGGCGCACCCAAAAATACCGCCGCCAGCGACAAAAAAACAGCAACAACAAAAACACAGACGCTAAGCCTGTAGTTTCGGTCCCGGCAGGCGCATCATCAGAGGGGGGTCTAGCAGAACTAAGAATTGCCATGGCCATGCTCCTTCACTCACAACGGGAGCAGATGACGCGCTCAAGTGCCACACCTGCTGGAACCCCGCCCCCTAAGGAATACGTACGGCTCTCGCTTAGCATTCCGGCTTTTTCGGGGTACGCAGATAGAAAGTCAGTGACTAAGTTCCTCTCGAAACGGGACTACCAAGCTGCGTCGTAAATCGACGATGAAACCGTGCTCACTCCCTTTTTGCCGGTCGCATTGACAAATAGCGTAGCGCTCTCGAGAAAGAGACAAAAAAGTTCCTTGATATAATTATAATGCAATTAAATGCAAAGGGGCAAGCGAGCTGGACAATAATGATGAAAATAATCCCTGGAGAAGGGGAACAAGAGGGACAAGGGACAAACATAAATCTCCAAACACAGCTAGGTGACTGGTGAGCGACCGAAAAAATCCGCCTGGTCGAGTATGGCGGATTTTGTTTCGCGATTCAGAAAAGAGTTCCTGCCATCGGATTACAAAATCCGGATGCAGGACAAGCTCTGTGCCCTCACACAACAGTTTCCGGAGTCGCTCATTTGGTTTGTAAGGGCTTTCCAGAGGCACGGTATGGCCGTGCTGACGAGACGGCCCCATCTGCAGAAAAAGCGCGTGCTACCCGTCAGAGCCACCCACGCTTCACCCACATCTCAGGGGGCGTTTGTTTAGGGATCTGAAAGAGATGGCACAGGACAGCGCATACTCGCGCAACGTCAGGACAGCGCATACTCGCGTAGCCCCCTCACAGTGCGCCGCCAGCAGTTCGGCTGGCTCCTTAAGGGCCATACGCACATTCGCGTTTGAACGCGTTTGAGTGCGTTGCGGAGTCCTTGCGGCCAGGCGCGGTCGCTTGCAGAGCGACGCGCGCCTTCCCGCAACGCTCGGTAGCGCGACGCAAGCGAGTAGAGACTCGCTCAACTTTCCCAAGCGTTGCGGTGCGTTCGGGTGCGTTCGACCAATCAGAAGCCGAAAGAGGAGAGGGGATGACGTGTTCGCTCGCCCCACCCGGCCGACTCGGCGAGACGTATCCGGTTCGCCTGTCACAGTGCTTGCTTTTTCGTTTTGGGGAGCGGTGGGGACTGTATTTTTCAAGGCTGCGATGGTTCAAGCTTGACAGAACGTTGGGGAAGCCGGCGAGATTGTCCCAAGATCGAACACCGACGCTGTCGCCGTGCGCCGCCATGTTGCCTTGGATTTCGCTTACTATTGGTGAGCCACTAGCGACGATAGCGCGTTCTTATTGGCTCTTGACTGCGGTTGACTGCGTGTCAACGCAACTGTGCGTACAAGCTTGGCGCAAGCGGTCTTCGCAACACAACGCGTCCGCTTGCCGCTACGGAACGCACCGCGCTTAAACGCGAATGTGCGTGTGGGCCTTTAGCAACGATGACGCCTTCGTTAAGGAGCCCCATGTCGCGTCGCAGCCAATGGGAATTTAGCTGCCGCTTTTTCTGCTACAGACTGTTACAGACAACGTCGGCTTTGCTCGATGGGACAGTTAATGCTTTCGCAATAAAACACACCAAAAGATGCATGGCACATCCTTTGAAGACAGCGCATCATATTCGACAAGTTCGACATAACTATCAGTTAGTCCTGGCACTGTCTGATGATGCACGCTGTTCACAGTTTCAGTGTTGAACCTGCGCTCACTGATGATTGGCGCCGAGGACACAAATTGTGTGTGTGACAACACTGACGGCAGCGCGATCGGTGAACCTTGTAATTAAAATGAAATAAGTCTTTTATCCATGCATAACGCAGGAAGCGTCAAAGAGCAGTGGTTTTTGGACCAGACGCAATGAAAGTCCAATATTCCAAAATGCAGCATAGAGAAAAATATTAAAAAAATATCGCAGGCTCCCGTGTTATGTGAGATTTCCCTTGATTCGGCATCACAGCATGGAAAGAACATACGGCTATCCGTGGTGTTCAAAATTAACTTTTCTGACGCCATGCCCCGAGAGAAGAACGCCGGGCGATATTCGTTTTTATTTCGCGGTACATTCGCCCCTTAAAAATGGGCCTTTAAATTAACCTTTAAATGTCTGAACCTGGCCCCATTCATTATTAGAGAGCTAAGAATTATATTCTTTTATTGATTTTATCTAAAATATTTTGTATTATAAAGAGAAATCAAACTGTTGTGTGTATGTTTGTACAGCCGGAAGTTAGTCTGCCTCAGTGGGCGTCTGGTGCCTCAGCTTTAGATGAGTAATTTAGCCAGTGCAGTACAACCACTAGCCTGGGGTTTTTAACGTGCACCCCGCAGTATAGTGATGCACGACCGCACGCCGGTACGGTGCTCATTCAGATTGAAACGATCAGGGGCGGGGATCGAGCCCAGGATCCCTGGGTTTTACAGCGCGAACTTTTGCTCCTCGTGGTCCGAGCTGGTGTGCTTTTGCCCACTCGGCCACCGATCCCCCCAATACGTAGAGAGAAGTGTACAAAAATGCTGACGCTGTAGTTTCATTATTGATTTATTTATTCGCCGTTCTTCCTGTAAAATAAAGTAGAGCCTCCCATTTGGTTCGAAACAGGTGGCAGCCTTTCAGACCTTTAAGAGTTGTTGACAGGTTCGCCGCAGCTGTAGTACTTGATACTTTTTGTGTGCTCCCAGGGAATGTAGTTGACGACGGCGGTGCAGATCATGTGGGGCTGTAGAAAGACCAAGTTATCAACCAAAGAAAATAAAGACACTTTCAAAAATTATACTAATTCTTATGGTCGATCTGAAAATCCTTCGAAGTGGCGCGCGCAAAAAATAAACACCAATAAGCTGCAGCGAGTCTATTATACTCTCCTCCAAGGGACTGTATACAATTGGAATATTGCCGTTATTGTGGTGTCTTTTGCGCACGCCACTTCGCAGTATTTTCAGTTCGACCGTAAGCGAGCGTTATTCTTGAAGGCGTCTATTGGCGACGTGCGTTATTGAAAGCGTCGATGTGGTTGGCTTTCTACGATTGGCCGAATGCTGACTATGACGCCGGCAAAGGCTTTGTCGTAGACAGAAATATGCGAAATGCAAGAACTTCCTTTTTCACGGTATTGGCAGTGTTGCTTTCAGAGCGCAATGATTTCCAGCTTCCACCATGCTCATTACAAACACCATCAAACTTGTTGCTCGGGAGGTAATGACGTAACAAAAGGAAACTGAAAGAGGGCGCCACCAAAACATGTTTTGGAGGCGCCCTCCTATGGTTCCCCCATCGCAAAGCGCGCGCGCGCGCACGCGCGCACACACACACACACACACACACACACACACACACACACACACACACGCACACAAACACACACACACGCACGCACACGCCAAAACGCACACTAATTGTTGGTTTTAAATGCAAAAATGTTGAGTCCGAAAGTATTTGGGCCAAAAAGGCGCGATGACTTTAATGGAAAGCAGAATGTCTTCAAAGTGGCCGCGATACCGACGCTGCTCAATTACAAACACCATACAAGGAAGCAACGGGGGAACAATGCCTCCTTAGCACACGTGAAACCTTCAAGCTCGCCCGCGGCTTCGGAAGCGACGAACACGGGGGTGCTGGGCTGCTGCATACTCACAGCGTCCACTTTGGGGTGGCAGCGTGTTCTGCTGTACCAGTCCTTCCCGACCACGCAGGTGGATTCGGTTACCATCATCTTGAACTTGTAGTCGACACCCGCAATCACCTGCATTCACGTCGGAAAACATTCTAGATGACCTTCACAAGTTCGTCTTCCCCTTGAGCATCTCGCTCGTTTACCCTCTGCTCATCTTGGTTTTAAAAGCGCACAAAAGACGAGGACAGAGTAAGAAACACAAACGACGGACGAGCGCTCACTCGCAACTGACAGGTTTTATTGGAACCTCATGAAAAACAAAACCTATCAGTTGCGAGTGAGCGCTTGTCCGTCGTTTGTGTCTCTTACTCTGTCCTCGTCTTTTGTGCGCTTTTAAAACCAAGATGAATAACCACCAACTAGCCCAACTTACCACCCTACTACCCTCTGCTCACACGCTTTTGTTTGCCTCAGGCCATAGCCCCTCCTATACTCACAAAGCCTGGCAGTTCGACGACGGTCACAGATTTGGAGCGCGAGGATCTGGTAGCGCAGAGCTTCAAAGAGCCAGTTCTCCGGAAACCTGGACGTCAGCGCGCAGCTTTTGCAGCGGCGAGGCCCCGAAACACACTGGTTCGCTCAGGAGAAGTGTGTTTCGGCGACTCGCCGCAGCGGGGTGCCCGTCACGTGGCTCTCCTCTCATCTGTTGACTGCCGCGCTACCTTTTCAATTTCAGTGACCGCTTCTCGTGGCGATCTGCCAGGCTTTGTCAGTATATAGCAGGCCATGGCTCCAGTCAAGGCAGTCTCAAGGCTAGCCACTCGCACTTTTACAGCCTTTGCTCTTAGTTCATGCTAAGGTATAGTATAATCGAGTGATTTTACAAATATAAATTGACTGTAACAACACAATACACTACGATTATAATGCAATTAAATGCAAAGGTGCAAGCTAGCTGAACAAGAATGACGAAGATAATAGTTGGTAGAGCGCTCCACCTGTAATAAGGAGGTCCCAGGTTCGATACCCGGACCACGCGGACATTTTTGGTCGCGCACCAGTCACCTAGCTGTGTTTGAAGATTTGTGTTTGTCCTTTGTCCCTCTTGTTCCCCTTCTCCAAGGATTATTTTCGACACAACACTACAGAGTTCTTCCTGTATAACGTTCACTAGATGCACAGAGTCAAAGGACCTCTCAAAGCTTCTGGCTTTGTGTAATCCGAAAAATTACGAGAGATTTTTTTTCTTCAAGTCCTACCATTTTTACGGTGTTGACAGCCCAGGTTACAACCGATTTCTTGTGCATGCGTGACGTAGGCAGCGGTGCCAACGTATTCGGCATTTACAGATTAATTTCAGATTCTGCCACGTGTGTTTTGGGTGATACCAGCGACTTGCACGACCAAAAGCACCGTTGTGGTCGGTTTTTCACAATAGACCTATTGCTATATTACCCAAGCATCAAGGGGAATGCAGGGAATGGTGTTCCACGCGCCGCACGTGCGGGGCTCACCGATAGTAACTTTTCCAAAGCAAATACCTAAAACAAATGGCATCTTGCACGCGGGTCCGTCAACGCTTTATTTTGGTTATTTACTTCGAATATTTTATACGGGGAAGGTGTGCGCGTGTGGCGCGTGGAACACCAATCCCTGCATTCTACTTGATGCTTGGGTAATATAGCAAATTAATGGTCTATTGGTCATACCACGGACATAAGAGCATCGCCAGTCTGTAAACGTCGACGGTGTCAGTTTCAGAACGCGATGGTTTCTAATTTCCACTGTGCCGTTTAAACACACCACCGAACTTGTCGTCGCAACTGATGGTAAGTAACTAGGGTCACATTTCGTTACGTCACAGTGAGGCAAATCCTGGTCATGACGTCACGGATCTCAACAACGAAAATTCGCCGAACGCTCTATTAACAAATGGAGCGGCTAAAAATTCTAAATTCCGATTTGTGCCAATTTAAATATTTGGGATGCTCACTGGGCGAACCGCATGAGATCGTGACAGGCGCTAATTTTTTAGTTGGTACGAGATACATGCCATCTTCTGTTTTTAGGCACTCGTTATGCGTAAACAAATATGGATTGTTAGTGTTTTCTAAACCGAGTCAGGTTGTTATTTGCTTTTAGAAATTCCCTCTTTCCCTACACCATCAGCGACTTCTAGAAGACGATGTTTGATATCTCCTGCTGCTCGCTCGAATTTTTTCGTTAATTTTTTTTTCCCTTACGAGGCATCTATAAAACCATAAAATGAAATATTTATGTTTTTTTTTCTTCTTAGCTGAGTAGACAGCAGAAGGCAACGTCATTTTTTTGTAAGGTTGACTGTCATATGAATTTTTTATTCTCATGCGTTTGTGTCCCTGTAGCCTTCTGCTGAGAATCGTTTTGCTTGCTCCGTTGCATTTTGTTTCAGCAGTTTGGACGACCTGTTTCAGAAAATTAAGTTACCTAATTGTATCGTGTTTCTGTTCTTCAAGTTTGTGTTGTTTCTGGACCCTGACGGCGGTGTCGCTGCTGTCGCACGGCGCATAAACAAACGCGAGTCTGGTCTACAAACGCGCAGTGCCCGGTGGGGACCAACGCTGACTTTTTCGTAGACAGTCTTTCTTATCATAGTCCCCGCTGATTATATTTTACAATAAAAAAAGGAATAAGAAATAAGCGGTTACTTGTGACTCGACGCTCAAGAGCTTGAGGAGCGTGTCGTAGTTGGTCCTGCCCTCGACTTGGGAAGAGATGGCGAAGTGTGCCCACTCCTTGTAGCGGGGGTCTACGTCCGGGTGGTGCCTCCTCCAGATCCCGGGAAAGGCCGTGGAGAGCGAAACGACGACCGAACAAACAAGGGCTGCATTCAGGAGACTCATCTCGGGTTCTGTCGGATGTCGAGCGATACAGTAGCGGTACTTGTTGGGCTCCATTTTATAGACATTTTGCCTATGCACCTGCAGTGCGTAATCCTTTCGGGAGATATGATAAAGCAGGATAGTTTTGCCACGCTCTTGCAACTATTGATAACTCTGTCACGGGTGATGGTTCGAGTATGGGCCGCTTTTTGAGGTTGCAGGCATCTTTCATCCCAGACAATGCACTGGTCGATACGCCCATTGGAAGGGAATTGTTTTAATTGCACTCGTCCCCAGTCATGCGCTTCTGCAATCTCTAGAAAGGAATGACGATGATCGGAATATTGCTCTTCAGTTTCACTGAAAATTGCAAATATAACTGCACGTTTTTCCATCTTTCTAGGAAAAGAATTAAGAGGCTTTTGATACTTGCTCTTAGTCAACTATAACGATTCTGGACGCCGTTTTAAGTGAGATTGGCCTCCTAGAAACATCATGCCGACTTAAATACTTTTATAATAAAGAGCAATCTTGCTGTGATAGATTTTTTTCCGGGTCCCATGAAGCAACATTACCGGTTGCCATTTCTGGGGCCATAATCGTGGGATTGAATCAGAGATCTCAACGAACACTGAGGCAGTACACGTTTTCGGGACGAGCGAAGCTGAATTCACGCCGAACACCGACGCACATCTCGTGTTAAAGTTAAATACATAATCATAATACGTGCACAAACAATGGCGAACGCCGAGAGTCCGCGCAGCAGCTGCTAGACGGCGTGCACTTTTAAAAAAAAGGTCTATTCCGCTCAGAGTTTACCTTGAAGATAAGAAAGCTTGCGCTAGTCACAGTCTTCATAAACATTTGCTGAAACATTGTGTTCATGGTGAAGAAATATTTTCAGTAATTTTGCTAGACAGTAAGCTTTATGTCTTGCGGCACACAACGCGGTATCCAATAAAAGATGACGACGAGTACTCTCGCGCCAGACCGAGTTGTGGCTGCGTTGCCAGCCGAACGCATTTTAAGTTCTGTCTCCCATAATCCATAATTTCATTATTGTCGAGACCCGCTGAAGTTTCACTCGAGAGTTCGTCAGAAAGGAGAGTCTGTGAGCGACTTCATTACGTCACTTCGGAAGTAAGCAAACTTCTGCGACTTGAACACTGTCCTCAACGACATGCTTCAAGATCGGCTAGCCTGCGGAATCAGTAATAATATCATGCAGACCTGCCTTTTAGAGGATATAGAACTACAAAACTGACTTTAGAAAAAGCGATCAAGGTTGTCCCGCCATAGAAGCTGCGACAAAAGACTTCCAAGAAATTACGAGTCAGACTGGAATGACATCGGCTGTCGAGACCAACCGCCTGTCAGCGCAGGCTTCCTAGTCACGATGCTTCCACTGCAAGAAACCACATAGTTCAACCGCTTGTCGTTATGCTAATATGACATGCCAGAACTGCAAGCAAAACTTTGAGAACATGATAGCGCTGCAAGACAGGAACGAGACAACACAATGCGCATTATGTTGTCTCATTCTTACTCTTGTCTCTGTCTTGAAGCTCTACCATGTTCTCAAAGTTTCAATAGCAAATCGCCCAAAACTCCACATTGCAAAAAAAAAAAAAAAAAAAATAAATAAATTGGCCACTTGACTGCGATCTATACCGCAAGTCCATGGGACGAGCCGAGGTGCGTCAACAGAGGCAGGAAAGCCATGCCTCTGCTTCACCAGGGATTCACCAGGGCGCAGGCCAATGAAAGCTGCATTGGCCGTTACAGTTCGTAGCCTGGACGACCCCGACGATCAAGACGGCGAAGATGACCAGCCGACATACAAAATGTGGCATTTCAAGGCGACACATGTGCCACAAATTATTTTAACTTTCATTGCTCAAGGCAAATCCATCGACATGGAGATGGAAGTTGGGGCCGGCGTCTCCGTAATGGAGGAAAGACACTCCTGAGCGACATTTCCAGAAGTGCAGGTTGCTCCTTCCTTTATAAGTTGTGAGTGGACCCTCTCCGATTTTACTAGGGCGAAACTAGATTCATGCGCTGGGAATTCCAGTTGCTGACATTGTCAACATCCACAACACCACGGTGAAGGGTCTTCTTCGCAAGTTCTCAGATGTATTCTACAAGGCAGTGCGGGTTCTCAAGAACGTGGAAGCCAATATTTGCGCCCCAGATGGGTCACAACTACAAACCGTGGCCAGCTAGCTGCCTTTGCACTGCAAGATCTGGTGACCCAAAAGGTGAAACGACTTGAGCGGGAAGGAATTATGCAGCAAATGAAGACGTCCGACAGGGCGGCACCGATTGTATTGGTACTCAAGAAAGAAGGTCGGGTGGGAATTTGTGGAGATTTCAAAGTTTTCGTTAACGCAGCGGCTCGTGTAGAGTCATATCAATATTACGTACAACACAAGGCCTGCGCGTTTCCCCCTCTAAACGTCATCACTAGTAGATCCTCTCAGTGCCCCCTAGCTAGCCCGAATGTGCTACATCGTCTGCTCCATCGTCTGCTCCATCGTCTGCAACATCGTCTGCTCCATAGACTGCTTTAGTGCTTTGCGTAGCAGATGATGAAACATATGCTCACGCCGAGTGTCTGTTGCTATAACATACGATGAAGTTAGACGCTCACATGGAGCGTCAAATGCATGAGTGAAAATGCCTTACTGATGTGCGAAGGGCTGCAAAACTTTCGCTAGACGCTGGACGCTGGCACTGGACGCAGTCAGTCAGTCCGAGCTTTGAGAGTAACGAAATCAAAGGAAGTGTTCCTGACTTAGTGGCTTGGTATGACACCTTTGTTAAAGGGGAAGGGGAGGGGGGCAGAGGATATAGAGAGAAAAAGAAGTGGTGTCTTTGCAGAGTCGCACCGCCAACTCGCGCCGCCGCGCAACGCCAAGCCGCCCGAAGGCGCCCATCCCAGCCGAGCGAAGCGGCCGGTGAAGTGGTCGGGGGAAGGGTCTAATCCTTCACAGTTAGTCGAGCTATGATCTTGTGTCTGTCTTCTTAGTAGGCCGTTAAGAAATACAGCAGTCCCACGGTATAAGATACACTTTTTAGGTGAGGACACGGCGGTGCTGATTGCGCGGCGCGAGGAATAAGATACCGTTCGTTCAACGGGCATCCGAAAGACTGCATCATTCTGCGGCCACCGTGCCCGCGGCTGACAGTGTCGCCGGCGGCCGAACGGCGAAACTGTGTGAGAGCGAAAAAAATTATCTCGTTGCCTTAACACCCCGGTACACCGTGGTCTTTCTGCACGTGGGGCAATCTCGCTGGAGCTCTGCGCGTGTGGAGCATGAGGCGGCACGTGCCGTCTTGTGCACTGCTGCCTGCCTCCTGCGTCTCACACCGTGCCCACGGTCGACGAGTCACCTGCCGGCGCCGCTTTAAAACACAGTGAGAGAGAGAAAGGGAGAAAGTGAAAAGCGAACTTCATCGGCACGTTCTGAGGACCGCGCTGTCCTCACCTAGTATTATCTTGCACCGTGACCAGTCCCAAGCACCACCAAGCAGCCCTTCTGCACAAACCTAATATTAAGCCGAATCAGAAAAAGGAGTCGGAAATTTCCCCTAAGTCTTGCGCCGCGATCAAAATGTGGATCGTAGCAATTTGTCAGCGGGCGGCCCGCGCGCCCAAGCTGGTCAAAGCGCGCGAGCCGTCCCGTAACGCACGGCCTTCCTTGTTCAGGGAGGCCGGTGCTCCGATGACTGAAGATTTATGAGGGCGCTATTTATACTCCGTTCACTTTTGAGCAGAGAATGCAGCCAATGCCACAAGCACGAGAGCTTGAGGTCGCTGCTTTGAAGCATTTTTCCTCAGGAGCTCTCACGCTAGAAATGCACGTCTCAAAACAAGGAGCGAGTCCTAGCTCGCGCCTTTAACATTTACTGCAGTCTCAACTACGGTATATAGACGCTTTGCAGCAGCTGTGCATGGGCGCCAACATAACCGACTTCAGATCTTGTTTCCTCTTATTACATTTACTTCACTTCATCGTTACCATAGCGGGGCAGGTTATTGCCATTTTAGTTTCTACAGTGTCCTTCTCCACAGCATTGACCTTTCTGGAGGCTTGTCAACGCCCGCTTTAGTGGCTCGGCATCTGGGAAAGACAAGAGAAGGGCAGCAGTGGCGGCTGTAATTTGGCGCGTGTGTAAAGTGTCTTTATATACGAAACGTATTTATTATATGTACAAAGGGGATTCGTCACATCCTCTTGAGTAGCATCTCAACTTCTGCTCAGAACGAGCTGACATTAATAGGCTACCAGGACCGGCAATCTTGATGGTGTCGCGTGCACGTTGCAAATGAACTGTGGAAGCTCGCTATACTCTGTTTCTTGTGTTGTACCGCATGAAAGGCTACAAGCGTGAGCTCCTTGCTCTAGGGCACATCTCGGCAAAACAAGCACTCTTGCACCAAGGTCAGCTGGCAACGCTATGGGCTCAGGCTTCTAGCCTTCGCAGAGGTACAACATAAGGTGAAACGGAGTATATCAGCTCGCGCTCGGCAGTTGTGCACACAGCTGTGGCCGCCAATGAATGGGACGTAGTTGTGACTCGGCCCATACATTCGTGAATCTTCAGCCTATTTGCCGCTTGGGGCGGGTCGGGGATCTACTAACCAAACATCATGCACAGACCTTGTCTTCTAGGTGGTATTGGTCATATCCGATTCCGAGAGTCGAAGAGCTGTGAATGAAGCTGTCCGGAGACGTCAAGTTCAGCATACTTGATCTCAATGATGCATACCAGCAGGTTATCCTATTTCCAGCCTCAAGAAAGCATGTAACAGTCAACACACATAAATGAATGTTTGAACACACCAGGCTACCATTTGGTGTATCATCGGGGTCTGCGATTTCCTAGCCAAAAATCACAGGAAGACATTTAAGACTGTTTACGTGTAGGAACGCGAATGCATTATAGTCCCGCGGGTGAAATGGTTTTGAGTGATGCTTCTACGCGTATTAAAATTTAGGACGACGTATACGACGACGTCAGGGACGACGTCCTAGAGATCGACGCCTGTACGGCGTCAAGGTCGATCTCTAAGACGACATCGA